TATATATATATATATATATATCCTCTCTCTCTCTCTCTCTCTCTCTCTCTCTCTCTGTTGTGTGTTTATGTGCCAATGTCGCATATAATTACTTGTCACTTTGTACTTTATCTTTTTCTTAAAATAAATAAAAACTGTGTGTTTATGTGTCAATGTCACATATAATTTAATGTAATTAAAGCATTTTACATGGAAGCAAATATAAGAACGCACAAACGATGTTTCACCTTTTTGTATGACGCAATTAATATGTAATTACGACATCATACTTTGCCATGGATCTCTAATCTTTCGACACTAATTCAATTTGAATTTTAGCTACCATGGAGAAGGAATAACTTCATATATTATTAGGATGAGTATAATTTATTTTATAAGAGATTTTTATCAATTTTTTTTTTATGAATTATTATTATAAATTATTATAAATCAATAATTCAAGAGGTAGGATTATTAATTAAAACATCTCATGACCTTTTGCTCCAAGGAGTATCACTCCCTAATACATTCGACTATTAAAGAACTTGATTTTTTATTAATATCTTTATTTTTAAGTTTAATTAAGTATAAGTTTAATTTACTATAAAATAATGGTGTCATATGTATAATACAATTTAAAAATTATATTTCGAATGATAGGATTGTCATGAGCAAAGCATTAGTTAAATATGAATGTATATATTTTGTAAGTCTAAAAATATATGAATTATGATAAAAATATCATATACGTATACATATATGATGACATATGGTATGAGAGTGTATATATTTTCTATGATGTATGGTACGTGAGTACACGAATATATTATGATATGTAATGCACGTATATGCTATGATGTATAATGTGGGAGTGTATGTAAATATTATGACGTGTAGTGTGAGAGTGCACGTATATATTATAATAACATATGATATGGGAATGCAAATATATATTATGATGTAGGGCATAGAAGTCAATGAATTTATTATACTTCCTATATTTGCATATAAGCATTTTGAATTATTTTGAAGTAGAACTTTAACTCTTTATTTTATATATGCTATGTTGTGGGATTATGTTTACTAAAGAAGTTATATGATAAGGGAGTTTTCCATTAAATGTCTTACGCCAATAATTTTAAAATATTACATATATGATATGATATATGCTACCTAAATAAAGCTATAAGGGCTTATACTTATTGAGTGTACTCATTACTAATACCCCACCCAAGTGATTGGGTAGAGCAGTGAGTATATGCAAGCCTATACCAGCTTAGATATGCATGATGTTCTGTAGGTGTTTTGTGTGTATAAATTTTGGACTTGTTATATTTATGTTTTTCTCTTAGTTAGAGGCTATAATTATGTATAAATGTCCAAAATACTATATATAGGAGAAATCCTATCATTTTGTTAAGTAAGTTAGCATGTTTTAATTTTAAGATTATCTACTTTCACTACTCTCCTATTGATAGCAGTAATAAAAATTTAAAATATGACATCATATTTTAGTTATACATGTAGGGTAGAAGTAGGGTGTTACATACATCGTATGTTAATGGTACATCAATGTTGTGATGGTTATAAGTTGATCGTCATGAACCACGTAGATGGCTCCTGAGGCAAGGACAATTATGACATATATTAGTATGGAGCATTATGAATGTTTAAACTTTTACTTTCGTCACTGATCTGTTGCTCTATATCATAAGATTGATCATCATACTACTACTTGGAAAAGAATAATCAACTATCATCATACTACTATTAGTCTTAAGATTCTTCACAATACAATGGTTGTGAATATGACGAGGTTTGATCTATATCTATGTCATGTATACTCTATCACATCTATTCAAAATCATCCATTGTTTTTCCCTTCCCTCCCGTGTATAAACTTAACTAGTATTTCGTCGAGTTTCATGATCTAAATCTTGGGTGACAAGTATAAAATTGTATAGACATGACCACATAGAATAAGCTTAATTATCTTATATATAAATATAAAATTTAAAAAGAAATATATATATATATATATCTTAATTAAAGTGTTATTCTTTTTAATCCTCTCAAATTAACATCTTATATTTGATTTAATATATAATTATAGCTTTGTTGAGTTTAAGAAAGTAAAAATATAAGAATGAGATAAAAGATGTGAGTGAGAAGAGTTTGAAAAAGTTAAAAAGATCGAGTGAAATGGGTTGAAAGAGTGGGGAGAGGAAAGGATATAAAAATATTTTTTATAGTTTAAATAGTCAAATTGATCATTTAAAATAAGACAATCTTAGCTCTTGATTGATAACGATCAAAATTCAATTGTTACCGATTGGTACAAGTCAGTAATAATTAAATTTCAATCGTTATCGATCGGTATAGATCACGTATCATCCGATATAGAATCATGTAATGTGTACCACCCGATATATGACTGTTCGCATGCTAATCCCTTGTCAGAATGATATGTATCATTTGTCTCAGATGGTATATCATGGTACAATGAATCTTACTTGATTTAATAGGAGGTTCTCCACCTTAAGAATATGAAAGAAGCCCTTGCCAATGATTGTTGCCACATTGTTTCCAATTGGGGTGTTACAATTACTATCTAGTTTAGTATTAAATCTAACATCATTTCTATAGAGATTTTGAAGTCAAACTCCTTCCAATCTCATTTCTTATATTCGATTGTCTTGGGTTGGATTTTTACATATTATTGAAGTGAGATTTTGATGTTATTAGAGATAACTTGATATTAGCGGAGTCTTTATTGTTGACATTTTAAACTCAAGTCAACGAGAGATTCTCCACTATTAAGAATATGAAAGAAGCTCTCATCAGTAAATGTCATCATGTCGCATCCTCCTCCTCAACCCCCATTATGGCATAGTGTAAATTTAACTAGTACATTATCGAGCCTGAATCTAGATGACAAGTGTAAAAGATTGCTCCTCTAGATACATCACCATCAAATTGTATAAATAAACATAGAATAGGCTTAATCATCTCATATATAAATAAAAATCTAGAATGATAATATATACCTCTCGATCAAAATATTCTTCTTGTAATCCTTCTAAATTAGCCTCTCACATTTGTTCTAATCCATGAATTATAGTTATGATGAGTTTAAGAGAGTGAAAACATGACAATGAGAAAAAGATATAAGTGAGAAAGAGTTGAAAAGATTGAGTGAAATTGGTAGAAAAAGGAGAGAAGAAAGGGTTTAAAACCCCTTCTCTATAGTTCAAACAATCAAATTGATCATTTAAAATAAAGCAATTGTAACCTCCCAATATAATTGTCAGCACAAATTTATAATGATTGGATTTCAATCAATACCAATTGGTATAGATCCTGTATTGTCTAATATAGGGTCATGTAATATGTACCTCCCAATATATGGTGGTTCATGTATCGATCCCCTATTTATATATACTATTCATAACATGTGATACATCATGAAGAACTTTGCTTGAGTTAATGAAAAGTTTTATGAGAATATAAAAGAAGTCCTGATGGACAATTATCACCATATCACTTCTAATTGGGGTATTACAATTACTATCCAGTATAATATTAAATCTAACGATCATTCTCATAGAGATTTTGAAGTTGATCTCTTTCCCTATCACATTTCTTGTATTTAATTGTTGTGGGTTGGATTCTTACAATGGAAGATATTATTGAAGTGAGATTTTGATGTTATCGGAGATAACTTGATATTAGCGACCATGATCTATTGATTATTTCTAGTTGACACTTTCAACTCAAATCAACGGGGATTCTCCACCATTAAAAATATGAAAAATGCTCTCATCCATAGATGTTGCTTACGTTGCTTCCTCCTTTCAGTGAAGAACCACTGAGGTTGGTTGATTGCTTGCTCAGGATCCTCTCTTTCGAGCTTCATCGACTTCCCAACCTACTCCATAGTTAGAGGGATAAACTAATTGCTCAATCATCATCTCTTTTAAGGGTGGAACTCATATATTATCTCAAGCTTATTTTACCTTCAGCGAATCCTTATAAATTAGGTACAATTCAATGGATAATTAATCTGGATTCGATATAAATAGGAGATAATTAGTTTGAAAATAATGATGTTTCGCATCAATATGACATGCAAAATAAATATTTTCTAATTAAATAATTTAACCTTACATAATCGGTGGTAATAGAGCTTCCAATGAGTTCCCAACCTGACCACCCAAGATAGTGCTTGAACTTTGCATCTTATAAGATTTTTTTTCAGTCCCAATGTTTAAATCATGGTATTCTTTTTTGTAAGAGAAATTAGACCCATCTATACTATATTGATCCCAATAATATAAATATATCAAATAACTTTTTGATCGGATAAAAAATACTCAACTCACTATCTCACCGAAAAAAAAATGTCCCAACATAATACAAACATCGAAATGTTAGTGTTAGTGTGAACAACTTTAAGCCGTGGCATCGGGACCGACGCGGTTTGGTTCGGGTCCGGATGACGGGGATCTTCCTGGGACGCTCCTCCCGACTGCTAAGGTGGCCGATCACGGTGTTCCGATTGGGACGAGGTCGCTGTTTTCACCGGGAGGGAACCCCCGCCTGCGCCTTTGGTGGACGACCTCCGCCTTCGCACCTACACAAAGGTCGGGTCGGGGAGCTCGACCCGATCCCTCTGACGATCAAGTTAGTGGATGGTCCTAGGGGATTTCTCCCTTCCCTCCCCCCCTTTTTTTCCCTTCAGAGTGCGAGGGTTTTTATAGTGATAATTACCGTTGTCTAATGTGCTGGCCCGCAGGGAGCGGGACCGTACTTCTGGTAGCGTCTAACGTTGCCGTTGGCGTGGCGTGAGGGATCGAACCTGAACAGAGCGTTAATGCGCCTTGGTAGGCGTTCCGATCCACGTTGACCAGGTGCCTCATCAAGTCAACAGAGGCGTGATGCGTCACCTGATGCAGCTGATGTCACGTGAGTCTTATTACAATTATTACCCTTATCAGTTATATATATCCCCCCTTAGATATATTCTATCCGAGCAAGGCATCTCCCGTTAGTCCAATATCGATATAAATATTAAAATATTAAGTAAAATAATGAGATAAAATATCTTTTCATATATAAATATTATCATTCATCTAAAAAATGATAAAACAATAATAAAAATTAAAAAAAGTGAGTAGGCTATTCAGCTGGCTTGACTAAGGTGGGAAACTCAGAGACACAAGCAGAGTTGGACTTACTTTTGCTTCTGCTACACATCCACTTCTTCTGCAACAGCAACTGCAGCACTGGCCATGAGAAACAAGCATCCAAGGGCGACCGCGGACATACCAGAGTTACGAACAAGAGGCGGACATGGGTCTACCTCTTTCTCCTCTTCTACACCCTCCTCCTTCATTGCTCCTGGGGCCTCCTCCTTGCCATCCATTCCTGGTACAACATCGTCGCCTCCTCCTCGTCCTCCTCATCATCATGGTCGTCGAGGTTGTATACGTCGGTGCTGTATGTGATAGCAAATAAGATTTCTCCGATTGCACGAGGAAATCTCACTGCTCTGAAAATCCTCCCCCCAGGGAACATGTTAATAAGCTTCAATCAAACTTTGTCTTTACATTTACACAATCAGTACGGAGAGTTGTTCGGGATGTTGTCCGTGGGGGCAGCGCTACCGGTGGCGGTGCCAGCGACGCTGGTCACGTGCTGCACCGTCCTGGTGCTGCTCGCCTTCGCCGGGAAGCCGTGGCGGGCGCTGGTGATGGAGGGGCGGCGGATCACCGCCGACATCAGCGCCGTCGCCCTCAAGATCCTCGTCCGCGAGGGCAACCTCGTCACCGGCGGCTGCGCTGGCCTCAGCTTCGTCGCCATCCTCCTAAGCAGCAGAAGGGGAGAACACGATCTGTAAGATCTAATTGAGACTCCCAAATATTCTTCTTCAGCTGTTAGCGTTGGTGTTGTATGGCTTAGGAGCAAAAGTTAAACAAGGTAATCCCTCGTGAAATAGTATGCATCTCTGTTGAACCAGTGAGCTTTGCGGTAACCAAACAATTGGATTGGGCTAAGTAGCATACCAGTCCAAGTGACCTTCCCTCAAACAAGTCCAAGCCCAGTTGCTGCCATGATGATGCTCTTCAAGTCAATTTGCTGCGGCTCAATCTCCGTCTGTGAGTTACAACCTACCAAAAGATTTCAACGGAATCAAAAAGAAGAAAAAGTAACATCCACAATCCTTTAATACCTGGTAAGATTTAGAACCTGCCACATCAATCTCAAGAGACACCACATCAGATAATGATATTTGTACCACAAACTGGAGAAAACAAAGTCAATCTAAAGCTTCTCCTACCAAAATTTCCGCTGCTGCTACGGGATAAGCAAGGAAAGATACCGAGTCCATAGGGTACCAAATGAACTACCCACTGGAGAGAGAAAAAATTGGGCTACCAATCTCAAATATTAGTTTCAGTAATCTTGCAGGCATCGAGGATCACTAAAGCATGTGATAAAAGAAGCAAGGAGTTACAGGCTAACGAGAACCTGAAGCTCTGCTCTCAAGGCAAAAATCTATTCATCATACACAACCAAAAAGCTCATCCATGGACTGCTACAGGTCATAATCTTTTAGCCCAAGAAAACTCCCTATCCAAGTCAATTTTATTAAAAGCCATGTTTGCACAGCTCCTTGAGCAGTCTTTGCTCTACAATATTCTCATCAGCGGCTCCTTTTGATGTTAGTACCATAAACTCACATGCTGTGGAAACTACTGCACGCATTGATCCCCATACATTCTTCAGGCCATGCACCATTAGTTTGATTCCTGGTGAAACTGCTCGTCAAGACAGAGGTAAAGAATTCATCAATTAAAGGACGTTCTGATGTATTCGCATGCATGAGTCTTAAAATTCTAATGGAAGATCAGGATCAATAAAACTACAATACACAGAAGCAGGAGTCTTGATGATATGGTTTAATTTATCATCATCCAGCTACTCTTAAAATTGATGTGAAACTGGCCTAGATAATGCTGCTGGCACCCATGGTACTCAAGCAGACGTATTTGAAGTTTCAAGTCGCCAAAAATCATCTAATTTGAGTTGCATCATTGGACAAATCTGAGGACGCTATATATTAAAAAAATCAACCTTTTATATTGTTATTGTCACATGATAGTTGGGTAGAATCTAATAAATGGCACAGGTACTCTCTACAAACAAACATAGTTTGTGGATGTGGACATGATATTCCATGTGACATCAACTAAATGAACAACCTAAAAACTAAAATGCCTTTGTACCTATTAAGTTTTGTTTACCAACATTTTACTTGATTGTCTTTTAGTTCCTCCCGTCTTCTAGTCATCTGGAGTTAATTATAGATGGCAACACACCAACTATGATTGAAGCATTATCCAACAACATTCACTAAATTACTCGAGGTTTTTAAGAGTCAAATTTAGATAAAGACTACAACAAAATGAAACTCAATCAAGAAACTTGAAACCTCCAAATAAGAAGAAATACAACATCATTTGGTTCAGAAGAGTACACAACGTTCCCTTATTAATCTCTATATTGCAGCTTACTAATTTAAAGGCACTGCAATGTTACAATGTAATCAACCCAAAAATAGGTCCCTTCCTTAACACCACTAATTGCATGTAGCCATTATCCAAAACATCTTCCTATAAGGTTCTGTAAGTAGACCCTTACAGTAGTTTTTATGTGCCCGCATATTATCAACATGAGCCATGCCATAATGCAGAAAGCCTTACTCATGCAACATTATTAAATCCATCCTATGCAAAGGAATTCATGAATCACAATAAATTGCTAGTTACTTCCTTGATAACAACTAACAATGTAGACGAGACCTAAAAAGGTCTAAATTATATGACCCATAAGTTTAATCGATAGCAACTTGTTTAACTATTATCTCCTTATTGGAAGGGGTACCAATACATTTCCTTCTTAATACTTACTTCTTTTACCTGACTTGCCGAAATTTTCACATACAGCTACAGTTTCAGATGCATCACTACTTTCTAGCTGTGAAACTGGAATAATGATAAGATGTTCTTTTCTTTCAATTGATGTGTAGATAAAGTTGGCGTTTATTAGATCAATTGGTTGAACATCATGCACATCTGACAAATTTCTTGCTTGGATAACGTGAAATACATGAGATGCAGACATAGGAAACAGTAATGTACTTAAGATATGCAACAAGCAACAGAACCAGGGAAAGGAACAAAAGACTATGCGACTTAAAGGGAATCTGTTCGATGAATAATCCCCACATAATTCAATGATTTGATGGCAAGAGTATTATCTTGAATGCATATATAGCAACCAAGTGCAAAGCCTAGTTCAGTCTAAAATCAAGAAAACGTAGTAGGTTACGACACAAAAAGCTCAAATACGTGAAAAAAACTCGAACAATTCCTGCAGTTAAGCTTCGACTACTTGCGTGATCAAGGGGAAGAAGTGAATCTAAACTGAGAGGAAAAAGAAACTATAATATTAGGTTTCGTTTTCGTTGATCATAGAGCAACTAGGTTGCATGATCATCGGCTAGGACCCATCAAAGATTCTGATCGAACAGTAGATCGCACCAAGAAATTGACATCAAAACTACAAGACGGCGTCAAGCACTCCATCAAATTAAAACTCTAACCAAGATTGGGAAAATTGGACGAGAAGGGATCGTAAGTGATCGGACCTTGATCACCAAATCGCGCTCGTTGCCACCGAGGAGGACAAAGAGGAGAGCCGCCTCTGCGATTCTTCACATCGTCATTTCCCCCTTCTCACCGTGGAGACTGCTTTGGTGGTCGCTAGTTACTGATGCAATCTGATGCTTTAAGATTCGTGGACATGCCACGTTTCGTTAATCAATTTGATCCTCTTTTTTACTACTTATTTTGTCTAAAATAATACTCTTATTTTTCACAAATTATTTACCTCAATAAAAAAAAACATTAATCTTGAGCTCTTTTAATGTTAATAAATTGTTAAGTAGGACCGGTTCTTTGCCTTTCAAGATATTTGATTCTTCATTAGCTATTGACTCTTTAAATCTCTAATCAACTTGAGACTAAATGTGCAAAATTCTTAATTGATAGTCTTACAAAGACTTGTTATCAATTTTCAACATTAAGTAACGACAATTAGCCGATTTTGCTGAACCGACGGAGGCTTTAGTGTGGATCACATGAACAGTTGACTCAGGTGAAGCAAACATATGTTGATAAAGAAATGCATTGTGTGAAGGGGCAAGTAAGAGGGAGAGATTCCACACAGTTTGTGTCAATTATGCACATTGAAAAGTACCATGACATGCACTGGCATTTGACGATCCTCTAATATAAATGTACCTTACATAATAATGATGAACTTTGTCAACCGATCACACCTTTGATAGGTGAAGGATTATGTGGGTGTTATTCACATGGAAACGTTGACATGCATTATGTCAACGTTTGCAACTATCATCGAACGATGTGGTTGGTTAAGAAAAAGACAAATTCATGAGTTACATGTGGCCAGTTGACACTAGCAGAAGACGCAACACTATCCTCATTGGCCACTGCTTGCAACTATCATCGATCTCTCAGTTATCCATCTTCATTGCTCAAGATTATCTATATTACTTCCATCTTCCATCTTCCATCTCCGTGTGGCATGGTGTTTACATGTTTATGAAAGTTGGTATTTGTCAACGACGCATGGCGCAGACATTACTCTATAAACACATGTTCCTGATCCAGCGTTGTACCCACCTCACTTCGATCCTTGTGTCATCCTAGCCATGGCTTCATCCCCACACAGCTCCACTCATCTCTACTTCCTCCTCGTCTTCTTCCTCCTCCAGGCTGCTGCCACGGCCTTCCCGGTCACCTCCGAGTTCGAACTCGGCATCCAGAAGAGAATCCACTTCCGCGTCTACTTCCACGAGACCTTTATCGGTCCCGACAACACCACCGTCACCGTGGTGAACATGAGCCTCCCCTACACCTTCGGGAACATCGAGATCTACGACACCGTGCTGAGGGTCGGCCCCGACGAAAGCTCCACCTTCCTCGGAAGGGTGCAGGGCGCGGGCTTCCACGTATCAATGCGGGAGGAGGTGATGCTGGTACCGCTGGTGCTGGTGTTCACGGCGGGGAAGTTCGTCAACAGCACTCTCACGGTGATCGGGAGACTGGACGCGTCCGGGAAGTCGGAGCGGGCCATCGTGGGAGGGACGGGGGTGTTCCAGTACGCTTGGGGGAAGCTGGTGACCGAGACGGTGACGGCCTCAGTCGCGAAGCTCGTCGTCGCCTACGACGTCTACGTCGTTTACTACGACGACCTCCATCTCAGTGCCATCGCATGATCACGAGACGTCGCCGTCACCGAAGCTTAATGCATGACACGAAGAATGTCCGCCTATGGCGTTCCTAATAAATATAAATAAAAACTGACATGGTGTTTACATGTTTACTTGTCACTTTGTACTTTATCTTTTCTTAAAATAAATAAAAACTGTGTGTTTATGTGTCAATGTCGCATATAATTTAATGTACTTAAAGCATTTGATATGAAAGCAAATATAAGAACTCATAAACGATGTTTCTCCTTTTTGTATGACGCAATTAATATGTAATTACGACATCATACTTTGTCATGGATCTCTAATATATGTATGACGCAATCAAATGCAATTGAATTTTAGCAACTGCAGAGACGGAATAACTTGAGATATTATTCGTATATTTTACAATATGATCATCCAAGTTACATGGACACAAATTTATTTACTAAATGTTAAAGTCACTATTTAAATAAGACAATTCTAATTAAGTTTCATAAGAGATCTAACACATGCACATCCGAATCTCATCATCAGAATTTATTTTTCAGAATCTTTCCATTTGTCACAAGCTGTAATCACCATAATACAAATGAATTACATCAAATTCCAAACAAATCGCCTGCTTTGACAAAATGACATAGATGTATTCCTCCCATCAACATGATCATTAAAATTTTCTAGTTAATTTATTGAATAAAAAGAATTTCATATTTTATAATTGTTAACATAAAATTTGATTATCTAACATGAAGAATTATTTGAATCTAATTATGGTTCTTCATCGAGTCTATCATAAATAGATTCGATATCGAGAGCACTAAATAATTATTATGAGATATTGTAAAATAATTTAAGGAGTATAAAGATTGCTTGAGTTGATAAATAATTTCAAGAACTTAGTAAAGTGTCAAATTTATTAAGAGTAAATAGTAATCCGCGATATACTTAAGAATTTTGTTTGTATGACAATATCACTCGACTCATTTGAAGTCAACACAATTGATACAAATATCTCAAATATACAAGGTTAGTTATTATTAACCTAAATAAATATATATTTTATTGATCTTTCTATCAATAATATAATTTTCTAATTTCTTTCTTATTTTAAATATTAATGTACCTCTCCAAATTATAATTTCTTAACTACTTATTTGATATTTAGAAACTATAGTGAGTCGAGTCTTTCTGAATAAAGATGTCAACTATGCTTGTAAGTACAATGTTCTATGGGACCATCTATTATTGTTGACTATGAAGGAATAAATGAAGATATAAGATATTTTTTATTATGAGCATGGTTATAGAGTAGAGAAGGATAGAGTACTCCTCGCTCCAATTATATTATTATATTATTATATTATATATATTAATTAATAAAAAAAATATAAACATAAAAATACATTAACTCTAACATTTTTAATTAATGACTAAACTAATAATATATTAATTTTAATAGATTAAAAAATATATAAAAATAAATAAAATAATAAAAAAATTATTAAAAGTTCAAAATCCTAATTGACATTTGTCTCTTTTTTTATCAATAGTTCTTTTTAAGTTTTTATAATAGGCACTTTATATATTTTTTATTTATGCAGGATTCATGTTACACAAATATATGAACGAAAATTAGAAAAACTAGGACTAATATAGAAAATTATTAATTTTTAGATTTATTTGGATGTATTTAGATTTATTTGATTGTGGTTTTATTTAACATATTTTTATATTTCGATATATTTGTATTTGAATATTGTTATGGCATGAAAATTTTATTATATATTTGATATTATTAATTAATTTTATTTTTAAAAATAAAAAAATGACTTAATTAGAAGAACAGGGATAACCACATAATTTCTACCGCGACGGGAATTCCCGCCCCCGCGTTGTGGAATTTGGTGGGATGGGGAATAGGACGGGACGGGAAGCGCTATCCGCCCTACCCCGCCCCACCCCGTTCGGGGCCTACTGTGGTTCGAACAAACTAGAGTCCGAACCAAGACCACATAGGCCACCCTCCCGGCGCCTCTGGCCAGGTCTGCGGCGCCAACCCATGCCACCGAAAACTTCGGCTCGGTTTGCTTAAACGCTCGGGCCGCAAACACACAGACAGATCACCTTCGACCGGAGACCCAAAGCCGACCCTTCTCCCCGATCGTCCCAACCCTAACCCCGCTTGGCTCTCCTATTTCTCTGCGTCCTCTTCGCCCCCTTTCTCGTCGAGAGGTAACGTCGCATCTCGGCCGGCGCCTTCCTTCCCTCGATCGGGAGGCGAGCGGTGGCACGAGGAGGTCGATGGGGAACATATTCGTGAAGAAGCCCAAGATTACGGAGGTGGATCGCGCCATCCTCTCCCTTAAGACCCAGCGCCGCAAGCTCGCCCAGTACCAGGAGCAGGTTGGCTCCCTCCTAGCCCCCGAAGCTGCGGTTTTTTCCTGTCATTTTCCCCTTTTTTTTGTACGAGTTTCCTGATCCAACCGAGGAAGAGTACGTCGATCGTCGTCGGCATCCTCGCTTCGCGCGAGTCTGGTTGATGATTCTATCGCGTCCTTGCTTGAGTCTTTTCTGATGAACTATGTAGATTTTGCATGTTCATTATAGGAGCTAATTCATTTTCTCGTCTGGTTTCTTTTGGGACCGGTAAGAAAAAGGATACAAAAATAGGCATTCAGGCTATATAATAAGAGACATGGGAGAACAGATGACAACTGCAAATTGGAGAACCAACAACTGTGTTCTATTACCGGAAACAAGAACATAACCCAAAATATAGGCATTGATATTGTGGATTGTTCTATGATTCTTGGTTAAATTACATACTTCTCTTGCTTGAGCAAAAATGTGGATTGTTTCTTCATGGGTGAACCTACTGCTATGGTTGAAACTAAGGATTAAAATCTCAGGATGATACTGGTTTCTATCAATCATATTGGTCTGCTGTACTGACCCATATGCTCGGTATCATCATACTAGTCCTTGGTTAACCCAGTAAAATACTGGTTGGTATAGTCTCTCCGTCTGTTACTGACAGTAAATGTCATCCACCGGACCGGTATGATATTTTGGTACATCAGGCAGTATACTGATCCGATAGTGGTCCTTGGTTTGACCGATGAATACCGGTTAGAACACATTGTGACAACTAGTATTTGAGTTCGTGGTTGAAACTACTCTAGAGCTCCATACAATGCTTTGTATTCAGTGAACTTTTGATCAGGTCTTTGTATTTAAATTTGTGTTAATCTTCAGTGAGCATGAAGGTAAGTACCGAATGAAAGTCCCTTTTTTGACTTATCTGAAGAAAAAGGGTCTAATTGTTTCATGGATTATGAGTTTCATTTCTGCCTTTTCTGTTACTTTTTAGCTTGAGGCCGTGATTGAAGCTGAAAAGCAAGCTGCAAGGGATCTGATTCGGGAGAAGAGGAAAGATCGGGCATTGATTGCGCTTAAGAAGAAGAAAACACAAGAAGAGCTATTGAAAAAAGTTGACGCTTGGCTTATAAACGTCGAACAACAAGTATGTAAAGTAGTAGTGTGGTACATCTTATTCTGCATGCAATATTCTTTCATTTTTAAGTACTCTAACAGAGATGTAAGTATGGCTATCTTCTCCAAGGGTTGTGTGATACTGGCAGTGATATTTTTCTTTTAGTTGGCAGATATTGAACTGGCGAGCAAGCAGAAAGCTGTATTTGATAGCTTGAAGGCAGGAAGTGATGCAATGAAAGCTATTCAAAATGAGATTAGTCTGGAAGATGTTCAAAAGCTGATGGACGACTCTGCTGAGGCAAAGGCTTATCAAGAAGTGAGACTTCAGTTGATCTTTTTTTTTGGTTTCGTTCAATCATTGCTGCTTGCAAACAAACCATTTACAACTTAACTTCCATTTAAGATAGAATAATGCAATCAGGCTGGTAAATGGCTGACAATAACCAGATACAAGGTTGCGTTGTGAAACTTATGTCATATGTCAATTAGTTATTTGAGACTGACAGAAACACTCTTACATGTGCTTTAAGCTCAACATAAACCCAATTTCTTTGGTATAGTTAGGCTAGAACCAAAAACTGCCAAGGGAATTGATGAGCTTAATTGCAATAGTCAGTGCTGTAAAAAGATGGAAATATGGGATAGTTGGTGATCAGGGAGATGGATGGGTTGGGAAGTGGTTATAGAGATGTTACATATTATTTTATTTTTTCAAAATATTGCTGATTATTGTAAGGTCAAATTCCTTGCTGGTTAGGAATGATATTTTAATAATAAATTAGTGATTTGGAATTTGAAAGTCCTAATTTGCTATTAGGACCTTGTTTGTTAATAATTGTAGTAGCTTTTCTATATGGGTTTGTATGAAATTCTGGATTTTACTTCGTGGAAGTTCAAACCTTCCTAATTAATACTAAAAAACTGTATCTTGGATTAGTTATCTCATTAAATTTCTGTATCTCTTCCATGTTATTTCCTCCAATTTGAGTTAGTTATTTCATTTAGTAGTTTGGTTCAGTCTTTTGTCTCTGCATTTAGCAGCTTCGACAGGTTGATTATCAGATTTTTATACTAGGGGTTATGATCAATTTCGACTTAAGACAGCTGTTAGGTCTGTGATTCATAAGTTTCTCTTTTAGATCTTCAACAGAAGCTCCTCATGCATAAAAAACTTGCTGTTAATTTCTTCAGCAGGAATCTCTCAGCACGTGGCAGGCCTGGATGGATATCCATGTGGTGAATCTTTCTGGAAGGTCACCTGTTAATGTTCTGACAAGGCTGTTAAACCACCTCTGTCTCTCTTGATAAAAAAAACTAACTCCACATTACAGCACCGCTAGTAAGATTGTTCAAGTCCTAAATTACTGTGGCCATCCTCAAGATTTAGTTATAGAATTGCGAAAGATTGGGACTAGAATAGCAAGGGTGGAATACAAAATTTAGTTTAAACATTTACTGAAGTTGAATATAATCTTGACCCATCATAAATTGAAAAATTGTAAAATTCTTCAAGCAGAAACGAGCTTAAACAAAACTTTTTTTGCCTTGATCATGCCAATTTTGTTCACCTGCTGAAATTTAAACTTCTCCTATTATGGGACTATGTTATCTTCTTTGTGATAATTTGTAAAATTCTTTTATGTTTCCTTTTTGTAACTTCGGGAACTGTCATCTGTTAGTAGATAAGTAGGCTAGACTGATCTCTTTGTCAAAAATCCCATTCTGTCAATCTAAAATTGATTTTTATTGCTAACTCTCCTTTTAAAGTTATTGATTGCTTCTTTGCCCTTGTTCAAGGAAATGAATGCAATCTTGGGAGATCGCCTATCTGCTGAAGACGAGGAGGAAGTTTTGGCAGAATTTGAGAATTTGGAAACTGAGGCAAGTTTTTTTTAATTTCTTCAATAAGTTGTTTTAAGCTTGCTCGTAATGAAATACTTGTATTTTTTGTTTATTCTGTTCAATTATTCAAGTCAGAGTTCATTTAGTAGAACAGGTATCGAACATGACAATTCCCCTTCATTTTCTGCTTGAGGGACCAAAAGTGGTAGCTTAACTTTGATAAACAAGCAAGATAACAAATTGACTTTTTGACACAATGGTAGAGTCGGCATTAAATTGTAGTTAAATTTCTTTTTAATGAAATCAGTGACCAACTTTTAATCAAGTTGTAGTAATGTCGTTGAGATTGTGTCTCTTCTGGAAATGTAACAAACCTATCCCCACTTTTTTTTAAGGTTATTTGCAAGTATGCTGCTGATTATAAGCGTACTGGCAGATTACCCTTCAATCCATGCCAACAGTTCCTGCCCAATCAGTGTCATCTGCACAAGAAACTAAAAGGACTCCTGAGGTACAGCCAGAAGCAGAGTCTCAAGCTCAGAGGGAAGAGGATGAACTTCTCAATCTTCCTGATGTACCATCTGGTGCACCAGTTCTGAGTGATGGTGCTGCTGAAGACATCTCAACTGGAACTCAAAGGAAAACAAAAGGTTTCTCTCTTGCCTGCTTAGCCTTAAGCCCCTACATATATAAAGAAATCATGATTCTTGAAGCTGTTTCATTACCTTACTGACTGTATATATGCTTTTTGAAATTGCAGTTCTGGAGGAGCCACTACCTGCTTGATTTTGCAAGTGAACTTTCATGGGTGTTCAGAATTGCATAATAAATGGGTGATCGCTGAAATTTGTAATATTAAGGCTGATATTTTTTTCTTCCTTGTTTACAATCTTCCTCTTCATGCATGTCTATATTTTAGTTCCAAGTTATTGAACTTACAATTTAGAGTGGAAAACATATGTTTCTACCGTCAAAAGCTTCTTTAATTCTTTTGGTGTACAAAAACTCAAATTATATAAGTTTGCTCTTAAATAGGATGATAAATATCCACTTGCAGGGTCTTCAGTCTACTTGATAATTATATTCTCATATTTGGCTTTTCAAATGAACGTGCTTAATTTGAGTTCCATACTTCAAAGTTTGGTGCTTAAAGGTTTTTTGTTCCCAGTTTTAGAGCTGAGTAATTAATTATTTCAATTGTCTCAACTGATACCGAGACTATCGAATAAATGAGAAGGGATGTATCTGTCTTAGCATGTAGCCTGGAATCCAGCCATTCAAAGGTCGATCCTTCCTTCGAAGATTGATACATTTGATATGGCTGTGGTCTGGGTGATGCAGGTTAGTACTGTTGCGTTGAGCTCAATTTATGAGGCCAGTGGCCTAGCATTCAAGTTCCTGCTGCACGTTGGTACACACCATGCCGGCTCTGCAGCCTCCTGACGGAGGCCAATCCAAATTTATGAAGCTTCATGTAGTATGCATGTGATCGATCAGCTACCAAATCACAGATACGGAGTCACCAGTCTTGTTGGTTCGTGGTTACAGTCAGGTATTATGCTTGGTTTACGGATCTTGTTTACTTCCCCGTCTCCTCAGCTAATGTGGACCATTTGTGGCCTCTAAACAGGGCTTGATTAAGGGAGAAGAGACCTCGACTAACAGCAGCTGTCCCCCTTAAGTGCCAGAAGAAAAAAAGGAGGTACAAAGGTACACTGTTGCGTAGAAAATGGTCACAGAAGGAGCCCCTCCTTTTGCCTTGGTTCTTCGTGGGAAGCTGAGAAGAAATTTCCATGGCAATGATGGTTTGTGGGGTCACGCTGTCCATGTTAACCGTGCGGGCTCCGATTTTTAACACTTCAGCCATTCAGACAGGCAAGATTGGCATGAGCTCCTGCAGCTTACTTCTCATCTGGTTTTCTCAAGCGTCAGTCAAAAAAATTACCCGCTTAGTAGCCACAGAATCATTAGATTATTTTGTTAGTCATCGTTTATCATGTCAAGCATGCTGATCTCATTCCGAGAATATGAATCTCCTTTTACAGTTCAAGTTGGAAAGAGAGAAGAAAGCTAAAGACATCAAAGGAAGGACCAATGACGGCCTTATAATGGCAAGGTTCTACTACTCCTGTTATTTATTTGAGGACTATGCATTTCAATATTATCGGCATCTTTATGAAACTAGAAACTTGCACTAGAGGGGAGCAGCATGGGCATATTGCAGAACAAAAGCAAAAAACCACTTCATCATTCTCTCCCTCCCCACATAACCGAGGGTCTCTTCTCTTCTAATTGCTAGATGCAGATGGAAGAGGATCATCAGGTTAGAAGTCAAAAGACAGAGTAACTTGTGACCACAGATAATATTCTCCGAGTCAACATCTGGTGACCATTTCTTAGCAGAATACAAGTCCCATGAATTTGGGAGCGTTCCACTGGAGAAAAGCTTGAAAATGATAGTTGCACTTCAGACCATGATGCATATCCTTTCGCATGCATCCAATTTATCCATACAGACCCTAAAAATTGACTCAGGTCAAATTACAGTATCTTGACTGTTTGATTTCTTCAAAATAGACTGAAGCTGTGCTTCATATTTCCTTAGAGCATCACTGTTGATCCCCCTGCCTGTCAACCATTTGCATTTATTAATTCCCTCCATAAAATCCTCCAGACCCCAGCAATACCACAGCATTCCATTCTTCTCTAGGCTCCTTGGATTCTGACCCCTGTTTGCTTTCCACCCAACCACTCTTCTTAAATCTCTATTTGCCACCAAGAAGAATGCCCAGAGAAACAAAGAGTGTGAGTGGATGAATCAACTTGTCTTCCATCTCAGGGGAGGAAGCATATAGGAATCTGGCTGTGGTGTTTCATTAGTTGCTGGTTCAGGTGATGTACTAAGCTGCCAAAGATGAAGTTCATGAAGCTTGGAAACCGCCCAGATACCTTCTTCACCACGGAAGCCATAAGGTGAGGCTTTTGAAACTTGTTCTGAATGGATTGCATGAGTAGTTTATAACACTTCGATGTGATAGATGCAAACTATTAGCAGTTTTTGATGCTTTTTATGTCATCAGACTCTGAATTCTTATTTCTTGTGTTCTAATTGGCAGGTCTGTTTCGTCAGAAGTCTCAACTGACCTCCAAATCCAGGTGCATAACAGCTTGTATCAGCTGCACAAGGTAGACCTCTACTTGTTCTAATACTTTGGCAGAATTCATCAGTGTTTCTGATACTTTGGCAGTTCTTGCAATCGATACTTTTTCTCTTCCATCATCTCTTCCTAATTCACTTACCTTGTTTGGTTGTTTGTGTTTGTAGTTTCCCCTCCTGTCTAAATGCCTGCGCCTGCAGAAGCTCTGCTCTTCACTGAAGGATACCTCCGAGCACACAGTCATCTTACTTCCGGACCTTCCCGGCGGCGCCGAGGCCTTCGAGGTCTGTGCAAAGTTCTGCTATGGCATCACCATCACTCTCAGCTCCCTCAACATCGTGCCCGTGCGTTGCGCCGCCGAGTACCTCCAGATGAGCGACGACGCTGACCGTGGGAACCTCGTCGGCAAGCTCGAGCTCTTCTTCAAGTCTTGCATCCTCCGCCGATGGAAGGACACGCTGGTGACGCTGCAGAGCACGAGGAACTATTCTCCTCTGTGCGAAGAACTGGGCATCACCGGCCGCTGCATCGATGCCATTGCCACTGCCATTATCGCCAGCCCGACGCAGGCGATCACGTCAAGCCACAGCCGGAAGGCAGCGACCAAGAACTGGTGGGCCGGGGACATCAGTGAACTAGGAATAGACCACTACTGGAGGGTCATGGTGGCGGTGAAATCCGCCGGCATCGTTCCCAACAAGCTCATCGGGGAGGCACTACGGATCTACGCTCGCAGGTGGCTGCCAAATATGTCCAGAAATGGCCAACAGAATGAACTGGAAGCCGATGACTCCTTGTCAGAGTCTCCTACAGAAGCCCCCGTGAAGCACAGGCTGCTAATGGAGAAGATAGTGAGCTTACTCCCCACCGAAAAGGGCTCTGTTTCATGTAGTTTTCTGCTCAAGCTTCTCAAGGCCGCCAACATACTCCACGCTTCGACATCATCGAAGATGGACTTGGCCAGGCGAATCGGACTGCAACTGGAGGAGGCATCGGTTGATGGTCTTCTGATTCCACTCGACTCAAATTCGAGTGGTACGCTGTATGACGTCGATATAGTGATGGCCATGTTGGAGGAGTTCCTGCTTCAAGGACAGAGCCCAGCAACCAGTCCACCCAGAGAGAAGCTTCGTTGTGAGAGGAGGAGGTCTCGATCTTCCGAGAACGTGGAATTCGAGGTACAGGAGAACAGCCGCAGGTCGTCCTCCGCCTCCCACAGCTCCAAGCTGAGAGTGGCCAAGCTAATTGATGGTTACCTCCAAGAGATTGCCAGAGACGAGAACTTGCCCATGAAGAAGCTAATTGCAATCGCGGAAGCTGTTCCAGACTTTGCCAGGCTCGACCATGATGATCTCTACAGAGTCATCGACATCTACCTCAGGGTAACCGGTCTTTGCGCAACATCGCGATTCATCATCTCTGTTGTCATGATCCTAAACTTGGTTTGGTCGTCTTCAGGTACACCCGGAGCTCGACAAGAACGCGAGGAAGCAACTGTGTCGAATCCTGGATTGCAAGAAACTCTCCGTGGAAGCCTGCATGCACGCCGCGCAGAACGAGCTACTTCCTCTGAGGGTGGTCGTGCAGGTCCTCTTCTTCGAGCATTCCCGAGCCGCCATGTCCGGCGGCCAGGTGACTGAGCTGCCCAGCAACATCAAGGCACTGCTGGCTAAAACCACAGCAAGAGGGGAAGACAGGGACGCACTCAAGCTTCACCACATCGGCACTGCTACCCCATTAGAAGACGGCTGGAGCATCTCCAGATTGAAGTGCCCCGCCACGAAGCTCGCAACGCTCAAGACGAAGCTCGCGGAGGAGGAGGACAACGACATGGACGACGACTTGATTCCGCGCGATGCGCTCATGAGGAGTGCTTCTTCGAGGTTCAAAGCCTTGTGCTCCCTTCCTAAGAAACCAAAGAGGATCATCAGCAAACTGCTGGCCATGAACAGAAGTGCAAGCGAGAGGAATTAATCGAAATAACTTGCGCTATCGATTTCATGCAGAGAAATCGTAATTGAAACGTCCTATATTTATCTCTGAGTTCTCTTTCTTGAGGCCACTCCACAGGAGCTGGCTTTTGCTGCCCACTCTGTGCACCGTGAGCCAAGGAAGAACATGTAGATTAAGGCCAAAAGATGGAGGCTCTCCTTATGGCATAGTCAAATAAAAGCTTAATTAGATGTGATTCGCTTATACAGAGATCGTTCTTATCGTAATTGTTTCTTCTCTCCACTACTTGTTGTGTTTGCCATCTTAAGGTGATGCAGTTCTTTGAAGAGAACTGTGGATGAACTCTTGTCAAACCTCCCCCCTGCGGATGTCGGTAGAAAAGATTGCTTGGTGATATCTGCTACAACCATACTTCAACTAGTTTTTCCTCGAATTATGGAACCAGTTTTTCTGGCATATGCCATCGAGGTCTTCAGAAGGATCTTGTTCACCCCAGCCGCTCAAGTCAAATGTCGGATTGGCACGGTGACTTTGGTGCATTTGTGGGCATCCATCATATACACCAAGTTTAGTAAACAGATGTGTTTGTATGACTTGCTGCTGAAACCTCTCTCTCTCTCTCTCTCTCTCTCTCTCTCGCAATCACTCCCTCGTCCTACTCACTAATACACCTGCCTAGTTGAATTAAGAAGACTTTTCCTTCAATGTGAAAGGAAACGATCTCATGATTGATCTAGTAGATATATTTCATTAACTTAATTTGCATTGTTATGGGCCTACCTCCTCCTTTGCTTGAGAAATGCAAATGACTTATGAGATTATCTTTGTAATCCTACTCATCTTCATCTTATGCATCAAACATGGGAGCTACTTGATGGTTTTTGACATATTGAAATAAAACAAAGCACCGAGCTATTCATATTCACTTAAAAGAACATATGATCAGATGTATTGATACAATCTGATCGATCATCTTTCCATCCTATTGACAACATTACCTACCGGCTGCAGATCAACTTCCATTCCTTGGAAGGCAACTCCATCGTCCTATCTTAGACAACAGCTTACCTTCTCAAGCTGATGGACACCTGTGATTGGCAAACGGAGTAAGGTGGTCCAGACCCATCATAGGACATTCTAAGAAAAGTATTGCTGCTCAACTTGCAATGTATCATATGCATCAGTCCAAACAACAGAGAACATGTAGTTGTTCCGGATGAGACATGTCAACCTCATTCCTATGTGCAATCTCACTAAGCAAACAAAAAAGAAAAAAAAGAGAAAAAGAAATCAGAGTTGCAATCATGAAGCTGTGGTGAAACTTCATGTGTTCTTGCTGTGTCATGCTGATATCTGACATGAATTCAGCCAATAAATCCAGTGGTGCTGTGGGGACTGATGCAGCTACATTTGTATTTGATGGATTGCTGGGTGTTGCTATCAGTGTTAGCCACCCAAGCGACCAGCCAACACACTGTTCCCCACACCTCCAAAAAGGTCATCCTCTTCCCCCTCCTCCAGTGACCACCTCAAGCATCACCATCCTCGAGTGGCTTCTCCGGGCCTGCCACCTTCCACAAATCAAACCCTAAAGATCACTGCACACTAATCAAAACCCAACACCTCACTCCTCATTATCTTTTTCTTACCAAAAAGCTGGTACCAGGTGCTTTGCATGCGACTCCAAACCTTATCTTGTTGATCACAAAGAGTGAGGACAAACAAGAAGAAGAAGAAGAAAAAAACCTGTATTCAACAACCTCACCAAACCTTCTTTCTACTACTCATGCCACCTTTATTAGGCCTTTGTCACTCATCATTTTACTGTCTCACTGCAAAAGCCACCTCTTTTCCAAGTGTATCAGGGGTTTAGCCATGAGAGTGGACCAACCTCAGCGTGTAGACTAATTGGAAATCCCACCCTATGGTGATGGACAGTGATCAGCATGAAGAGCGACAGAGAGACCACATGCATGCATGGAGGGAGTGCCATGACTTGATCTTGAATGCCACCCAGAGATTTAACTGTGTGCAATCATCCGATCAAATAATTAACACTTCTCAGAAGATCCAAAACAAGGATGCAGCTCGGCAAACACTTCCAACATCCAAATCCACGAGTTGCTTGCCACTGTCATAATCCTCGTCACACATCCACTTCACACCCCTCGTGGCCGGCCCCATTTCCCAGATCCGGTCGCCGGCCGCCTCCACCACACGGAGCTGGCACACTCACCTCCCACAGTACAGCATGCGTTGGGAGAGATGCATGGCAAGTGACCACTCGATCCCGTGGCTTTCGGTGTTCTATTAGGTATGACAGTCCAACGTCAAAGCCAACTGCGGTTGTCGTTTGCGTCCTTCCCTTCCCCCTTCCCCCCTCACCCTAATATCATGTGGTATCACGTACTGCAGCGCGCATAAATGCGAGGGGGGGTTGATGGCGTTGTCTTTAGCAGACACCGCCATGACTGCACTACATGACGGGACCTAACTGCGAGGAGGCAGCTCGTGGGTCCTCAGACAACACACACGCACGCACAGCGGAAACCCTACGGCAAAGCACAGGGAAAGCCGAGAGGAGATTGGAGAGAGAGACGGGATGAGGTGGGCGAAGGCGATGGACAGCTTCTGATGGAATGGCTGGGTCAAGAAAAGCATCGAAATTATTCGAGAAGTTGCTCCATCCTTCCTTCCTTCCATGGATGGCAGGGAATCACAGCATGTGAAGGTGAGCTGCTTTCCTTAAAGCTTCTCCACTTTGGGTGAAGGAAAACAATGTTTGGCCTTCTTTTGCCAAGCAATAATTATGTTCATATTGAAGGCTGGTGTGGCTTCTGCTGACCGGTGATGTGCATTCAATCTTTTCATTAAGCTTCCTTCAGAAAACAACAAATATATATGCATTACATATATATATAATAATTTTTTGAAAAAGGCTTTAGTTTAGAAAAATTCTTGTAAATCACCCATATTTAAAAAAAATAAATCATGTAATATATATTTTTTTTCATAAAAGATTATTTTACTTACGCTATCTTCGTCGCTCATCACCTCCACGCATAAGGTCTTGGGCAATGAGGGAGATGATGGAGGAGGAGACCCAACGATGGATAACAATGGATTTAGATAGGTCCAAAACCTTTGCCTTCTTTGGAGGCCTCCCTCCTTCTTCGATAAGACAATAAAGATGATCCCATCATTCAAGTGCTCACAGGCGATCAATGATGGATCCGAGGTCTTCGCTTTCTTTGACGAAGATGACCCTCATCGCCTAGGAATCCACATGTGGAGAGGATCAAGGATGAAGGATATAGGGGTAAAATCATCTTTTACGAAAAAAAATAAATATTTTATGAGAATTTTTAAAAAAAATTTCAAAAAATTATCATATATATATATATATATATATATATATATATATATATATATATATATATATATATATATATATATATATATATATATATATAGTTGACCTACATATGATATACATTTGACCATCATGATGGCTCATCACCAAGTCCATGCAAGCAGCCATTAACAAGTACCTTCAACTCTTACAGGCCCCACCTCCCTCACCATCGAGGCAATCACGCATTTGTTTCAGTGGCAAGTCGCCCTCAGTGTCAAACCCCATTGACATGGGACGCAGAGGATGAGACAGCACTCCGACAACATCTCGACGGCCGGCACCTCCAACTCCTTCCATCTCACACCACTGCCAAAAGTTCAAACCTGGACCCATGAGATCCCTCTTTCTCTTTGGCCACCGCCATGCGAAGGAAAGCCATGGCTGTGGTTGAGCATGCCTCACCATGCTCCTTTCATCGGTCGGCCTCACTCAGCATGCGGGCGTGGGATGGATCATGGCCGCCATCGGAGCGGACAAATGGGACACACTTCACGTGTCTGAAGGCCCAACGGCAGCTACCGCAGTTTTCGGCCTCTTCTCCTCCACCATCCACATGGAGGACGATTAATCGCAGACTACGACGCTAATGAGGGAGATCTCATCACAATCTGCATCCTTCGACGCCTCCTGTTTCCGGCGTCTCCAGCTCCAAGACAACAGGTTGTAGAAGGAGACAACAGCCAACCGTATCACGTAGACATCATCTGTTACATGTTAAGTCTTGATATTTAATATCTTTAGTATTTTACTACAACGCAATCTTATTGTTCGATGCGTCAGCCAATCGAATCAATCTTAAATGTACGAGTGAGTTCGATCCTACAAAAACTAAATCGAGAACTTCTCGCACTACAAAAACCCCCCTCTGATCTTAATGTTAATGGGTCCAAAATATAATAAATGATTCGAAGGATTCAAAAAATATCCATTTGAGTTAACGTAATTGAAACTTTATATATATATATAAGCGAACTACAATAACTATTGGGTTAAACGAGAATTTTGCAAGATCGTCGAGGTATCACTTGAATTACGACTAATGTCGTCGTGTTCCTCAGCTTGATGGGTCCAAGATCGAGTGTCAGGCTGTGCTAGTGACATGACATCCCAATGTCTAGCGCATTCACCATATGAGGTTTAAAGAGTGAGAAGACCTTTTTCTTATTCTACCATAGGGAAAAGAAGATTGCCAAAAGCTTACTTGCATGATCGGTGTGTTACAACTGAGCTTTCAATGGAGACGTCCTCTGCAACAAGCAGCCAAAAATAAGTGGGATCACCGTTTGCAAAGACATACAGATTTGAATCGGTGATCGTTGCACTTGTCGAACTGTTCATCTTGGTAACAAGTAAATGCACATCTTGGTGACGGGTAGCAGTCAAGATTTGCCGGAGCAGATTGTGTCACGCAGATGTGCTGCGGATGCATGTGAACAGTATATAAGATCGAATAGGAGGCAGTGGGCTTCCTTGTCTCTGCAGATCCACTTAACAAGAAGAACCCTAGTAACTGGTGGAGACCTTCGAAAGCCCAACCCGTAATCATCTTTCGTTATGGGGCCTGGCCTTTGTATCGTAAAACTATCATATTAGAATGAACAAGCAATTACGGTCTGATTTAGTCCTACATCGGAAGTGGGCTAAAGCCATCGTTTCATTCCTCGTTTCATTCCTCGAGAAGAAAGAAACGATGGCTAAAAGGCCTAGACATCGCGGCGGCAGGCCATTGATCAAGCCTTAAGCCCCACCGAGTTGTACTAAGAAGAGCAAGCATTCAAACACAGACGCTGCCATTGCATGGTCGATGCAAGGCAGCCAAAGCCTAGTAAAGTAGACAGGACTGGTAGTGCAGCAGATGCAGAGGGAGAACATGTCCGTGAAGCACAAACCCAAATGAAGAACACAAGAACACAGGAAAAGTTTACCTTTCAAGAAGGAATCAGTTTCCAGCAACCGTGTGATCCTCGCCTTTCTCTTTCTTCTTCGGCCCCATGTAGTGCTACCTCCATCGACAGTGCATGTTGGAATCTAACCAAAGCCGTCTGTTTCTGCAACAATATGCCAAAGCAAACACTCTGGATGGGTTTCATGCATGCCTAACCCATTTCCCTAAGATTCGTAGTTATCAGGAAGATTTATTCCTGGGTTTCACCGGTCCATACTCAACTCATATTGAAGAAAGTTAGATAGCTAACCAATTCGGCATGTTTGTTCTTTGGATTTCTTGTTGATGCCAAGGGACATTTGCTGGAACATTTCTAGACATTTAGGCATCAACAAGAGAGAAAGCACAAGCTTCACAGGATGAGCATCCCATCCGATTACCTGTTGATACTGAACTTGCTTGACCTGCTTGACTTGGAAAGATGATACCTGCACAGAGAATTAGTGTCCACAACTTTCCAAGTGCAGATCTTTTGGAAACACAAAGGTCAAGTCTTCTAAATATCTTATAAAACACCAAATGGCCCAACTCTGATCATTTTAAAATCCTGCAAATACTCGAGAAAACAAGTTAGCCAATCGGATGTTTTCGAAGAAAAGAAGTAGCTTTGCGACTACGACATCAAAAATAAGGACAGACTGCTAGACAAACAACAACATGCACATCACAAAGACTGAAATAAACCATACAAATTAGAGTTTCATGCAATTCCTTTTATATTAACCATAGAAGGTGATATGATTCCAATTCCATCATTGAGAAAAGATAAGAAAATGTAAATGATCAGCAATAAATATGAGAAAGGCACAGGAAAGAAAACAGTAAGTATGGATTTTTTGGTTATCTACTTCTAAGACAACCTTTCACAACCATTAGATGTTTTCAGTAAGCTATGGCAAATAACACTTTTTTAAGTGTATATTAGCTGCAAAGCCCACCCATTGCTCGGAAAAGAGGAGTTGCAAAGTTTGAATCATATTTGTCGCTAGTTGTATAAAAGGAATCAGTCACCATAACCATAGTATGTAAATAATGATGTATTATTAGATAAAGAAAGTAATCAAGGCTCAAAGACAGCCCTAATCTGTAACTCAGGCATTTTGTTAGATTCTATATTTCACCCAAGACTTTTACAGCTGGAATTTACACATTTATGCATCTAGTTAAAAGTAGTTTCAACTAGAAAACCAATCTGGAAGCATATTTAAGCAGACTACTCAAATTGAACTCTAGATCTCTAAATTGGAAATGTCAATTATTACCTCAGATTGCCTGCAGCTGACATAAAGGATCACTTGTATGTTTAATCGCTGCATCTAATCTCCATATATTCATCTGCTAAACTACAACAGCAGAGGTGAAAGAAGTGAGAAATGAAGAATCTCAGAGGCCTTTTATGAGCTATGACATGAACAAATAGTTTGCAAACAAGACAAGAGTATAAATAGAATGGCCTTGTTTGCTGCAGTCACGCCAGCATCAATCGCTTTACACAGGAACAAAAAAATAGAAGCCTCAGCAGGAAAGAATTTCCTTCCTCAATGCAGCAAAAGAACAATCTACACATAGGAAAATATGCAAATTATAATACCTCAAGATGAGAAATTTAGATGGAAATTGGACGAAATTGTGAGTAACTGAGCAAGAATGTAAAAAATTAAAATGCTTGGATGCCAACAAGCAGTTCACATCAAAGAATTGAGCATACAACAGAATGCACTTCTATTGTCCAAAGAAGTGGACTTGCATAAGAATGAGTCAATTCTAATGGCAAAAGTCACAAAACACAGGACTTCACTAAAAGCAATGCTAAAGACATCATAAATATGTGGCTGATAGAGAGTGCGACGCCTGAAGATGCTAAATGATATGCGAGGATCCATGTGGTGGACCACAGCAGCAATAGCTTCTGGTGTTCTTGTTGTGGAATATCATGTGTGCATGACACATGGCCCATCAGGAAAAAAAGTGCCTAGAGATACAGTTTCATGAAATAAACTGGAAAGAAAACAATTTATAAAATGTCCATTGCCATGTATTTTCAGATCTCTGGATGCAGTTTAACATAAATAATAACCTGCAAAAGTATTAAGAAATTTTCGTGGACTGGTTATCTAGTCACTGTGGTCAAAAGGTCATGGAATATATCCCAGAGACTATTGATTTGCTTAAGAACTTGCCTTGCAGGTTCCTGCACCTGCATTTCTAATTGTGCATGGAGCCACGATCTTGGTTGTGACACAAGTCCAAATCATGAGCATAAACCATATGGAATTCCAAAGGACATCTTCCACAATTCCACAGGCATCACCAAGTGAAGTGAGTGAAACAAACCACATGGTACAATGATGAGGTCTAGATTTTCCAGGGAAGTTGAAGAAGAATACATCGATAAATCAGTTTTTGAAGGAAAACAAGATCCCATAAATAAAATTTAGGATACATCACTCAGTTTCCATTCTACAACAACCGGTGTCATGTCACATACCAATAAGGTAAGAAGGGGTGAACAACCTCCCATGGTAGTTAAATTCACTGATCTCCCTCAAAAATAAATGGTGGCATCAGGAAAACTTGTACAGATATGATCAGCTCCAAATGATATTGCAGAGATAAGCGCAAGAAAATGTTGATGCTTGTCCTTTGTCCCAGAAGAATCATCCAACCATGTCAGATACTCATCTTCATCATAGTTGTACGGTCATCAAATTCTCAGCAACACTCTCGTAGAATTTGCAAGCAACCTACGATGCCACCAATAGAACTCACCCACTTTCTCGCTTGCAGTTCCCAGGCAAGAGGTATCGATGCCGGTCAACATTCTGAAGTATATAACTAGGAAGGTGAACAGCAGAATACGAACTAGGTATCGGCCCCAACTTGGCAATGATCTCTTGGAATGTATACTCTTCCGGAAGCATGTCAAACAGGTCTGCTCCTCGGCAGATCACATCTTGAATCCTCGAAGGATTCAAGTAGTAGGCAAATCTCACCCGATCGACATGGCTATATGCCTTCATCTTGAATATGAATTGGCTTATATGACGGAAGCAGAAGCTGCAGTGCCACCCTGAATCAGCAAATAGATCATTGGTCTGCCGGAAATGAGCATATCTGGTCTTCCCTGCTTGGTACCTGTGAACCGAAGCCCTCCAGCTTTTGTCATCAAGGTAAAACTCAAAGGAGTAGAGATAATTCCGGAGCTGGAGATGAAGCTTCTCGGGAATCTCATCGCACCATCTCAGGAGGTCGATCGTATGGCCACTTGGGATCTCGTCGACATCGGACATGATCAACAAGTCATCATCTTCAACGCCTGCAAACCTAATAAGTTGATCCAATGCCACTCGCTGGTATGATTCCTCAACGAACGGATTCTCCCCCGTGACAAACCTCCCCCCGATGGTGCCATAGGTCAGCCGCGATTCCACGAACTTGAAGCGGCTCCGGTTGCCAGCAAAGACGAGGGGTTTCCACAGCCCAGTGAAGGTGGAATTGGACTCGAGGAGGACGAACTCTGAGACGTAAGGGCTGAGTTCGTGCCACCGGATCTCGAGCATGTCGAGCTCGTTGCTGAACAGAACGGCATCGAAGACCCGACGGGGGGTATCACGCATGCCCCAGCCGTGGAGCCGGCAGAGGCGCTCCATGGAGATGTTAGGGTGGTAGTAGTGGGGGATGGTGCGGAAGGGCTTGGGAGGGGACTCCCAGATGGGGCGGAGGAAGTAGGTAATCTTCTGGCCATGGAGGTAGATGATGAAGATGAGGACGGGGACGCCCATGAAGAGCAGCAGGAATGCCTTGAGATCGAACCCCCGGAGAGCGCACCGCAGCCGCGACATGCTCAGCGCTGCCCTCGACGTCTGCTGCAACAGAAATCAAACGATCAGACGGGTGAAATCGAACCCAACAGATTGGGGAAATGGGAGTTCTTGCGGTTCAAATCTCCAAAGCCGAGACTTGTTCTCATTCCAAGAACAAATGAGAGAATCCACCATCATGTAGGGTTTGAAAGCGGCAATCATAGAAGAAAGAACCAAGGTTCCATACTTGAAACCCGAACAGAAAACAAACAAGCAACACAATTAGATCTGAAACGAGGGATAGAAAAAGGTGAATCACCTCGCCGCAGACGTCCTCGCAGATGTCGTCCGTCTTCTTAGAACAATAGTAACCCGCTTCCGGCATAACGAAAAAGATCGCTTCTTTTTTCCTCGAAAGGGGTTGGAATTCTTCCAGGCGCGGCGCGGATCAGATCACAGCCGATCGCTGGAGCGCAGCGACATCCGGCCGTCCTCTCCTCCGCCCCTCCCCTGCCCTACTATCGCTGCTGAGATCTTCAGCCCTTGCTGCTGCTTCTTCTTCTTTTTCTTCTTCAAGTAAAACTTATGGTCTTAATCCCAAAGAAACCGCCTTATAATAGCCGTTCTCTTTCTCTTTCTCTTCTATCTCCGCCCCCTCTCTATCCTCGCCTCGCCCTTCTCTCTCTTCTCCCTCGTTGGTTTGTTGTTTTGTCTCGCTGTAATGTTGTTGTGTCTTTGATGTTGCATTTGATGACAGATATAGCGCCCATTTCTCCCCCCCCCACCCTAATATTTACAGATAATGCCCAGCGCACCTCCGCCTCCCATTCAAAATTCGCTCATCCATCCCCATAGGAAACGCAGGAAAAAAACCCTTCTTTAATGGAGAAAGGAGTACGACCGAAAAGATTAAGCATAAAGGAAGCAGTTTGCGAGTGCTATTCCCAACTGTTGCTTCCTCGAGCAGGGGAGAGAGACCGGAATGTGGGATGGGTCGAAGGACGAAGTATATACCAGTGAGGTGAGCATGCGGCGCGGATATGGCCCGGGGAGAGAGAGGGTGTGTCGGTAAAGGCGGTGTTTTGTTCGTGTTGGCGAGCGAGGGTTCCATGGGCGGCGCGGCGGGGAGACACACTCTGGCTCACGTTCCAAGACCGGCCTTCGTCTCTCTCTCTGTCTCTCTCTCTCTCTCTCTCTCTCTGCTACGTGTCTCCTCCTCGAAAGAATTGCTTGGATCTGCCCGAGACGAATCCACCAATGTGGCTCGTCGCATGCATTGCGACGCTGTTTGATTATTATTATTATTATTATTTAATTTTTATTTACTTATACGATCCTAATATTTATAATTATTTTTTATTTTTATTTTATCATAAGAATTTATAATAAAATATCTAAATTGATTAATATATTCTTGTCTCATATTTAGGTATCGGTTTGAGTATCATATATACCATTTGATATTAAAAAATGTTTTTTTAATCAGTTACAATCAATTAAATATTTTGCACATATCAATTTGAATTGTTATGACGTAATAGTGTGGTGAAACTAACATTATTATTCTAGATGAGTATATTTATATGATATTCCAAAAAAAAGATGAGAATTCATGAAAAAATAAATAGACTGCTTAAGAGGATATGAGATTTACATGCAAAAAAAAAATATAGTCAGAAATATAATGCAGTTATATTGATATAAAAGTCAGAAATAACATACGAGTTGAAAGATTCATAGATGAGTGCTACGTGATTTAGACCAAAAATAAAATAAAATAAAATAAAATAAAATAAAATAAAATGAAAGACTATTCGACACCAACAGTTGCACCAATTACAACTCTTGCAAATTAATGAACCAGACATTTCTATGCTCGATTGACTTGGATTCCATCAGTAGACTTCTCCACTACTTGCATCTTTCTTTCTCCTCTTCTTCCTCTTCTCTTGCGCGTCGATAAACGTAGAGGTGGTTCCAAGAGCACCTTCAGTGGCTCGTATTGCACTTGGATGGCTTCGTTGCTGGTGGTGGTGACGCGGAAGAATATTTTGACCCAGCACAGCCTTAGATAGTCTTCGGAGTAAAAGAAGGTGAGTGGAAGAGTAAGAGCTCCATGTCTCTCTCTCTCTCATCCACGAGACTTCAACTCGCTTGCTGTCTCACCTTGTCTTCTTCCTTCGGCCACTCGGTGTTGCTGTTGTATCAAGCGACTGCATGCACACATATGATGGCAAAAGTCTTCGTGGATAAGCTCACGTCATGTCTTTAATGTTTCCTTCCAACTCCGTCACCCAACGGAGAAAGAGGAAGATGATGACACCGAGTTGTGTCATTGTTATTGTCATGGCCACTTCAATCCTAATAGGGTTAACATTCATCGTCCTTTCTTGAGACTTGACACATTAAATATCAACTAGCAAAGATCTCTCGTCTCTCTATTCTATACACTCCCATCTTATTCCAAAGTAAATACTACTAATATGAGGATAACAACATCGAGATTATTTCAACCATTTATTCTCATTCATGAAATAATCGACTGATTGGGTTCGTTGTACGATAAATTTTCAATCAACAATTTATTTTTATTTTCGATCTAATCAATCAATCTCATCCGAATTTGATGACTATATCCTTTGTTCATGTCCGAATACGATAACTATGCGTTTTAAAGACACTAAACGCATTCACAACTTTTGTGGTCGAAGAGCATGGAAATTAAATGAATCATACACTTGCCTGTGGTGTGCCATTTCCCTCTGCACTATATCTCATCGGATAATTATTGGTTGGTGGATGTTGTTTTTGCAGTGCAGTACTTCTCTTCTCTTTCAAGATGTATGGGTGAGGCTACATCGATCATGGACGGCTCACGGGTGCCGAATTGGTGGCCTCGATTGCCACCCCAAAGTGGCTGTCTTCTCCACCATTGGTGGTGATGGACGGCAGAGCATTCACTTTAATGCAACACCCCTACCACATCTTCTTCCTAGCATTTTTGCTTTCACAAGCATCTCATGACCCTAGAAAACAAAAGGGATGAGATCAAATCAAACAAACTGCACGAACTTTAAAGAGCCATTGATTAATTATAGAGTGAGTCTTTCACACGAGTGTCCCACCCACCAATAGACTTTAAAATGCATCAGATCATAAAGAAATAGCCTTGTTTGCCCTAGAAATTGTGAGGAAGGTGGTTGTCATGCTCATAGGCTTTGGTTCCTGTGATTCTCATCATGGACTTTGTTTTCTAGCTGCAGAATGTTCTCTTCTTGGTGCATGTCTTGGATTAAACCTACTCTTTTCTTCTTCCCCCGACTAGTGTTTCCCTTTTCTTTTTTGTCATTTAAGAAAGGAAAAACTGGTCTATGTCAGATGAACAATATGGAAGCCATGGTGGTGGTCCTTCGGCTGCTCTCACCCAAAACCCATCTGCTCCTGGCCATGCTTGACAGTGATGGAAAGACTCGAAAAGCACATGAGGGAGGGTTCATGACAACTGGCCCAAGCTGGTGTTCCTCACCAGCCACACTGTTCATGGCAGATTAGGATCATCACCTCACTCTCCTCACTCCAATTACCAGCAGAAACAAAACCCTGCACAGGGAGGGATCAGAAGACTCATGACAGCAAGTGGTGGCACTTTCCTCGGACTAGTTTAATGATTTGTTGCGTATTCAAACCTAACTCAGCTTTGCCTCCATCCAATTCTGCTCACTTTACTGATGCAGTCTTAGGGAGAGTATGTGCTGCATGCATTGTTTGCTTGCTAGCAGTGGAAAACTTCACCTGCTCTTTGCAGCTAAGCATGAGAGATCAAAGCTTGGTAATGTTCAAGATATCAGAGTTGTCCAACCTCCAATGCCAAGTCTCAGTCCCAAGAAGACACTGATGCAGACAATGTTTGGCTGCATGAAGGTCATTTAGACAGTACACAAGCTGAGCTTGAGATTTCCCAAGCTCATTGAGGTTTTGGCTTTCTATAGAATAGGAAGGAGGTATGCAAATCAATATATAATCTAAAGAAGCAGAATGAATTCAGTCAATGATACTATTAGCTCATTCCATGGAAGCATCCCAGTTTCAGTAATGATGTCATTGTAGTTGCCAAGAAACATAAATTTGGATGACCTCAATATGCAAGTTATTTTATGGTAATTAAAATATGCTGAAGTGCTACTACATGTTTTGTCTGTTGGACCACAAAACCTAACCTTTGGGCCACTTGAAAGGATGGTAGTTGACTGTCTTGATTTCAGGTAATCAACCTAACTAGCTCCAGCAAATCTAATATGAGTTGTCTGAAGAAAGGCATAGGCCAACTGGCTTTTTAAGTATTCATTCACTCAAGCTTAGGGAACAGATAGGATTAAATAATGCTTTGTCAACCTTTAAGGTTTCACAGCAAACTGCCAAAGTCTATGAGCTCAAGAGTTCCAAGTTCTGCTTTTGTAGCTGTGATGATGTCAAGCACAGAACACAACTGGAACATGGAAGTTGTAGTATCTGGTTAAGGTGTGATCTGAAAGCTTCTTAAGATACAAGAGGAGATCATGTTTGCTGACATTGCTTTTTATTATCTATGAATGATTTTGAGAGTCAAAATGATCTGCTTCTTAAAAATATCAATAGAAAACAAGAAATGATGACAGACTCTTGAGTTTGAGATTTTATCTGCTCCTCAAGGGAAAACCTAATTTCTTGTTTGACATCAAGTCATTACCATCATGCTTGTTTCAAAGACAGAGACAAAAAAACAAAAGAAAAATAGAGATTTTTAATTGAGCTTGTTCTTTTTTGTTTCTTGTCCTAAGAAACATGAAGAACAAGAACAACAGTAAAGAAGGGCCAGCTTCTCCTCTTGCACAAGACATCATACTGATCCTGTAGCCAGGCATTTAGGAACCAATGGATTTTTCTCATAAGTAAATATGATAGACTTTTGGCCACTCTTAGTTGCTTGCATCAACAAAAGTTGTCATTAGGAGTTGACTTTATTGTCTACATGACATGGAATGTTGTATTTTTTTGGTGGTTTGTCTTTGCCCAAAGAGATTTCCATTTAGAATTCAATTTTCCTCGATTTAGGCCAAGAAATAAGAAGATATGCTATCTTTTCTGCAAACATATCATCAATCCTTACCTTGGCAAGAACAAGTTTAAGATCACAACTTCCCTTTTGACACTGCAGAAGAGATAAGATTCATCAGACAATAAAAACCCTGCAGTACATAAAGATCTCAAAATATACCTGATTACTGCTACTGAAATTATGGAAAACAGGGAGTTTTTATTTCAGATTTCTCACAATTTTTTTTAAAAAAAGTTCAAACAATGAAATATATTTTAGTAATATATAATCTATGAAATATACAAGCTTGATGTTTGTGAGATTTTAAAAAAATGAAAAAAAGAAAATTTCTGTGCCACATTTCTCCAAGCAACATGTGGGCAACTCTTTTATTATTAATTTTCTTTTGGAGAAAACACATTATTTTTTTTCAGCATAAATATTAATCCAGCAAGCAAACCTAAACCAACAATAATGGATTATAGGCATAGTACTGGTGGATCTAAAGAAAACAATTTACCTTTTTTTTCATTCTTATTCCTCCACAAATAAGCCAACTGAACCCACAGACACCATTAAGAGATACCTGTGACACCTGTGTTGAACCTTCTCAGTGAAGATGCCAACTCCATGTTATTTGATGAGCCACCAACTAGAAATGTATCAAGTAATGGCACACATCTGCAGAAGATTAATTGGCCTGCTGAAATCAACAATTAATGGGCTACATGGGATTCTAGGCATATATTATTAAGGGGTGAATCATTTTAATTCTCTATGTAAACAACAATTTACCTCATCTACATTCCTATTTCTGCACAAACATGCAAACTGAGCCCACAGACTTCTCAGTGAGGATGCCAACTCCAATGTATTTTGATGGGCCACAAGTAGAAATGCACCATTGTGAACACATTTGCAGAAGATTAATTGGCCTTCAAACCCCTGAAACAACCATATAGCCAACCAGATCAGATTGCAGTGGACAAATCAGATTGAGACATTTTAATTTTATTTGTTTTTGCAAGCATTATTTGTGCATATTATATCACACCCCTTCCGATATCCATTTGAAAAGAGCCAATCTCCTTGTAATCTCATGTAATCCCATAGGACTCAAAAAGAAAAAGAAATGAGTTAATCAATAAGTAATAGTAAATGAACGAGCAAATGTATGAACAAAATGTTGCCATTGCTTCGTTAAAACATAATCGGAATCTCACAAACAAACAATGTGTGAGTGTTACAAAATTAAAAAAAGAAAGTACTTGATAAGTTCTAAATAGTTATCCAATAAAGAGTTCAGGACAGCCCATCATATATACAAAATCATCGTGCATAAGTACCCATATAATACTATTTTGATACCAAGAGACAATCTAACCCGGGACACTAATCAGAACCCCATTTAACCCTTTGTCATTTGAAAGTTCTATGAAGCTTAGATGGTTGGATCGCATCTTAGTTCTAGAAAATCACATTGAGTTACGGGTTGGAGGTGCCGTAATTGTGTAATTTGATTTTTGCACGGTATTCGTATAACAACGATGATTATAAGTCAAAAACAATAATAAAACTTAATCAAAATGGGACTAGCAATGTTTAAGACATGAACAAATAAACAATATATTCATTTTATCGAACACCTATCGTGCAATGACCAAACACAACGAAAATAACTCATCAATAACGATGTTAGTACGATGGAGGAATAAGATATAAGGAATTGAAGCATGAAAAAGAGTGGCTTCGATAGCAACCACATAGAGAGCAACCCACGAGAAGTTTCATGGCAAATTCCCCACCTCCAGCAGAAAAGTAGTGAACTAAAGTTGGGATTGGTTAACTGCTAATCGTGAACCTAAGAATTCTCAATGTCCAAAGGCACAGACGTATAGGTGGGACATGCATAAGAAGGATCCATACATGTCGTCTTCCTTCTTTAATTGCATTTGGCCGTAGCAGCAGAAAGGACCAAAAGCGCCGGTCACCATCGACAGACGAGTACGAAGCTCTACCTTCTCAATGCGAATGGGTCCAAACGATGGCCAGATGGATGCAGCAACTGCACGTCCCACCGCCTCCGGTCCCTCCCCCTCTGACCCTTTTCCTCCGTATGCCTTCCTCCTGTAAAGCCACTGCAACAAATACTTGCGCCTGTACAACTCAAAACCTTGGAATCCTGCAAGATTTTGGACTCTAAAATAAATCTTGATGTGTGTCTAAAGCTTCTGCAAGTTTTTATTCAGATAAAATCTTAATAAGTTCATAATAATTCTTAGGATCAAATCTCAAAAACTTCATTAAGTTAAGGCTAATCGAATGGGATTAATATTACTTGATGTTTTCCTAATTCCATTTCCTCATCGGAAGGAAACTGTGTCGTGATGTGCCTCTGTCGACTTTGAGACTGTGAGAGACACAGCCAGACAATGACAGCTGGTAGAAGGGAATTTGTTCGAATTATTAGCCTGCAATATATCACAAGAAAAGGTCTCTCTTCGATCAAAGAAGACATCAATCTTCGGTAAAAACAAGGAAATCAAAATTAGATATTGATGACAAGTAGTAGTAGAATCCCCTGTTCTCATGTACAAACTACGTACTAATACTAGTTTATGGTGATTCTAATTGATACATGAACACACTGCAACATGGTTGCATGGATTCTGCAGTATCCATCCATGGCGACATCTCCGAATCACATAATCCAATACAACCGCTGATCCAAATGCAAAAGAGGAAGCAATCGCTGCAGCAACACGATGCTTACACCATGGATCTGCAGAGGGGGCAGGTGGCGTACAGGTGAGACAGCCACCTCTCCAAGCACTCTCTGTGGAAGAAGTGCCTGCATGCCGCCACCTGGCTCACCTCCGCCGCCGCCTCGAAGCCATGGAGGCACACGCAGCACTCTCCGTCGTCGACGCCACCCTCGTGCCTCCACACCACGACGCGTGCTCCGACGTCTGGCATGCGCTCCTCTTCCCCATCACCGCCACCGACTAATCCGATCATTCGAACCACCGCCCATCTGACCCCGTCCACCAGCAGCGCCACCGGGAGCAAAGCGTAAGCCAGCAGCGCGAAGGGAAAGAAGGCCTCGGCGGCGCTCGGCAGGCTGTGTAACCCCATCTCTCTCCCACCTTCTCCCTCCTCCTCACCCCACTGCTGACATGCAACCTCGGCAATCGTGTGTTTATTATAGTGGGGTGGATGAATTCCGCGTGGTACCACCACCTGATATGGAGGAAGAAGTTGGTGGGAAGCTTACACATGCACGCATCTCTTCTCCTCCCACTGTCAACGGGGGAGGAACAGTGACTACGACGGGGAAATCCTTCGCTCAAAGCAGACAAGGAAAGCCAGGTGGCGGTGCCGCGGAGATGAAGTGGTGGTGCACCAGCAAGAGGACAGGTGGACAGGCCCAGACGCGGCAAGTTCCGCGTCCGGCGAGACATGTGTCTGGGGACATGTCCCAATCTATACTAACCAACAAGAAAAGTCCAAATCATTGCGAAGGTAAACTTATCTTCGACCAATTAATTCTCCATCTCCATCACCTCTATTCGACCTATGAAAAAAAATATATTTTTAATTAGATTAAAAGTAGGGCGATTTCCTCAAAAAAAAAAATCTCAATTTTCAGACTCTAAATGTTCCTGTCGTGTCATTTTCATGTGGCCGCCTTTACCTCGCCACTTAGGTCCCACTGTTTTCGTCCTCTTATGACCAAGCATCGAAGGGGAGAGATGAGAAGAGAAGAGGAGCCAAAATATGAAACGAGAAAAGAGAAGAAGGTGAATGAGACAGCTACACGAAGACGATGGGACAGAAGCAAAGACGGGGGCTTCGTCTACAAGCGCCGCCGCAGGCGGAGCAGGATCGGCCGGCAGCCAGCGGACCCAGAGGCGGAACTGAGGCGCTGCCTCCACGACCTGAGAGATCGGTACCGGCGGGAGCTGGCGCAGTGGGACCGCCTCTCGCCCGACTTGCTCCACCCCATCGCCGCCGCCGCCGCCGGGGGTGGATACCCAGCGGGCAGTCGTCGACGACGTGGAAAGAAACCAGGGTTCGGTAGGGCTTTAACAAAAACAGGGTTTACGTGTTGCAGGTGGAAGCGCAAGAGGCGGTCATCGGAAAGCTAGCGAAGGCGCGCGCGTACGTGGGAGTCGTTGTGCAGGGAGAAAGAAGGGAGCTTGGCGAAGTCTCTAATGGAGCTACCGATCTGGGCAAGCCCTAGCTAGGTCTCTTGCGGCTTCGTTATCAGATGGACTGATACCAGAACAGCATCAAAATTTACATGGCCACAAAGGAGTTGTATCTCCATTTTAAGATTATAATCCAAAGCAGGTTCTTTTCCTCTTACCATCGAGAGTACATAATTTATATCGATTGGTGATACCTGTCGAATCGATCACGTTCGGAGTCACCGTGTTCTACAGATTGGTGGCTTCATCACCATCTCTTCGATATGTATGCCTTCTCAGCGTCGGCCATCCGATCTTGGAACATTTTCCACTCTTTTCTACACCGATCCTGTACCTGCCGGAGGTGACGGCGACACAAGTTTCTTAGCATCAGTATAAGGAGATCAAAAGACGTGAACAAGCAAGCAAGCAAGCAATATATTCCGTACCCCCTTCCATGGTTGTTTTCCATTCTGTTTCTGTCCCTGTGATGACATGGAAAGAGGAAGTTAGAGCACAGAGAAACATAGTGCTGCTGCTCATTATCGACTCATCTGCCTACCTGGTTACCAAGCGTAGGAATCCCTTGGTGAACGATCCATTGCGAATCCACGACTCCAATTCTCTCGTGAGCCCCCTGGATCGGAGTTGCGAAAGAAATTAAACTGGAGTATCAAAATGCAGCACGAAAAGGTCCGGTTGTCGACGAAGTACCTCCACGCATCTCCGAAGAGCAAAATCAAGACCCCATCCGTGAACCAAGTCGTTCTGCATTGATGATAATGGCGTTCGAAGTTGCATATGAAGGAATGAAGAGAGAGAGAGAAGGAAAAGAGATGAAAATACCTGAATCATATGCCATGCACAACGCCAGGCATCTCGGGAGAACACAGTCGCCATTATCTCGACGAACCTATACAAGGGATGAGAAACAAGTCTTGAGTGACTATAAAGTGGTAGAAATGAGACAAGTATGGCTTCGTACGCAGCACAGGGTGGAAGATGAGGGTCGGAACACCGGCCATGTTTCTCCTTTGTTTCTCTGTCGAAAACCAACCATAATGTCAATATGAATCTTTTGGGAAGGCAAGAATTCATATTCATGTAACTCTTTATGCCGGTCTAATAAAATGTGGTGGTATTCTAATGAAAGGAAACAAGAGTGGATAAAATAGATCAATTGAATCGAATGAGAACTCACTTATGGACTTCGCTTCCCTCTCTCCGCATCGTCATTAGCCATGTTAAGTCTTTACTAGGCTGTAGGCCAGGTTGTGAAATCTCCAGCCCATGTTTCTTTACCAGCTTAATGTATCTGCAGCGGCAAACCAATTTCTAATTTACAGGTGCATCAAAAATTTAACATGCATACTCAAGCAGGGAAAGGCACACTTACTCTTCGGCATCAAAATGCTCGACTCCTAGATCTTCATCCCAAATGAATATGAACTCATATGAATCCACAATGTCGGGGTGCAAAAACCGTTTTGCGAACCACCTTGAATCAAACAGGAGAATCAGAATGTCTAAATAATTCAATTGTCACCCGTGCTGCAACTCTGTGTAAGAAGATTTGAAATTCTTCACTCACCATTTAGTTTGTTTTCTGGCACTAACATGAATAGCCCGCTTTGACCATTCAAATTCATCCCACTCACTTGTCCGTCCATCATAATGGAACAACATGATTGTAAAATTTTCCGAGAACTACAACATCAAATTTCTCACAAGTCAGATGCAAACTTGAAACGTAGTAATAATTTGCATGTCAGTGCCTAAGAGATGCATTATACTATCAAGACTCTGTAAAAAAGAATCACAAGTACTTTTATTATGTAAGACTATAAGCTAGACTTCCTCTGCATGATCTCAGGAACATCCTTTTAATAGGTTTGTTGCATAGTTCAAATGCCAATATCTGAAGGTTCTTAAAAACTTAAGGAGCATATGAAATTCTATATCTCCTTTGGCGAACTATTTAGCATCAGATATGAAGATGCACAAAATCATATTTCAACATATGCTGACCATAAAATACATTCAAATTATACCTGAAGTGGGTTTAGTTATGGAAAAGAAATGTGGCATAAAAAGATTAATTTAAGCCAAGTCCTCAGAGTGGGTGGTGGAGTGTACTATGTCGCATGGGTGTGGCAATCTGAACTGAAGTTTTTGATTGAAAGACCAAGATTCAGAAAGAGGGGAAGAAGCGTCACTCAGAACAAGCTACATCAGCTTGACAGCACTCACTACCTAGAGTCATTAGGCTAGCAGTTCAAAAAGGGATCACTTTAGGTGCTCCTCCACTAACCTTTTTAACTGCTGCATCGATGTTGTTTTTCTGGTCATATCCAACTGTGAAAGTTACTAGGTACTTCTGCTGTATCTGAAAATCCTGAACATCAACCATATGTTTCCTTAGCAGAAACAGAAAAAAAAATGAACGCGTTAAGCATAAAAGGAACAGAAGTAGAATGATCCATTGGTTTTTCTCGGTTGGTTGCTTTCATCATGCAAAGTTCTTTGCTAGGTAGTAAGACAGTTATCTAGCATCAATCATTTATGAAAACTAAACCAATGCACTTCTCCAGCTAGTGAGTAAATTACCTACAACTAAGCTGATCAGCAAAAGTGAGTAAATTACTTACATGATCAGCAAAAGTGCAGTGTTATTAGGTTCAGCATTTATACAGACAATCTATGAAGAGATCACAAAATATCAGTGCTTTGTGGATTATGCATAAATGGAAAAAATATTCACAATAAAGTTTAAACATATTACACTGTCAGTGTTTCTCTATTGATCTAAAGAGCCACTGCAACTCCAAACTTGCAACAACAAAAAAAAAACCCTCCAAACTTGCATAGCACATCACAGAAATTACATACGGAATACCCAATTGCAGAATTGTAATTGGCTTTATATGACAACAATGCTAATTAGTCAGTCTCATGCATACATATCCAGAAGTTCATGAACAATGAGATAGCTTGGGCGAAACTAGTGTTATAATGAAATAAAGGGGTTTATGGTATTCTCAATCTCATGTATATGTAAGGTAGCCAATATATACAAATATTAGCCCATCTTACAAATGAAAAAGAAAGAAACTGAAAATTTAGTTCTTACTAAAATGAAATAATGCAAAACAGATTTGAGATTTGAATATGTTTAGTGCAACGATTGTGTCCAATTGGAAAGATATATCTATCCTGCCAAGCATACTATCAGCAACTACAGTCAGTAATATAAAGTTTTCATTCAAATAATCCAAGATGCATATAAAATATCACACAATAACAACATAAAGCAATACCAATATTCAAGTGAAAAATAACAATAGCACTTACCTCACTTGGATTCCCCCACAACCTTCGTGGATAAAGATCTGACTTGGATACGATGATATTTGGTGGGAGCCTTTCTGCACCTCGGGGATTTTTAGGAACGTAGATCTAGACCATTTAAAAAATCTGGTAAGGATATGGTCATCAGTACAGGAAAATTGAAGTACCAATCTTCTCAATCTGATACACATCCCATTGGATTGTTTTAAGAAAGACTATGAAACAGATTACTTAAACCAAAGCATCTTCATTGAAACAGATAAATTTTGACACTTTCGTGGATGCACTATAATTTAAATTATTCATTTGAAGACTGTTAGGGTTAGGATATGACATCTGAAGTTACAGAAGGGTCCTTTATGATGAAATTGACTGGAACAAAACTTTACTTTCAAGACTTCGTTCTAGGCTCATTTACTTTTATTGATGTTCCTATTTAGGAACCAAGGAACAGTTACCTATGTTAAAAAAGAAGCACAAATTTTAATTATTGCACAAATGCCTTAGGAACCAAAATTTGATGCTACCACAGCTGTAACATAAAAAAACAAAGAAATATAGAAGACCATCATAAAAATTACACAGTTATTGCTGAAACTATCCTAGATCATCCTACCTATTCAGGTTTCAACATAAATCAAGAAACTGCATAAGGCAAAATAATTAAAAAATATATATTTTTTAGAATTTAGTAGATCTTTTCATTCTTTTTCTGATTTTCCTGACATGTTTTGATTATTTTGAACAAGTTCAATATTGACAGAGGTCATGCCATCAATTAAATACTGTGTATATTACTGAGAATTTGACAAAAAAGTTTACTTATCCACAAAAGAAATTTGAAGTATATCTCACAGTTAATATACTATTTAAAATAAATACCTTTGAGGTATCATTATAATGTACTGTTGAGTTGTTTCCGTTGTGACTATGTATAGAAGGCCAAGTGTGATTCAGCAATGCTTGGGTTGCAAAGGCTGAATTCTTGTCCTCAATGCATGTGGTGATGCTACCAGCCAAGTGGAGCTGCCAAATTAACCAGGTAAAATGCTTATGTTGAATACTGCAACAGAACATGTATGTTCAGCAAAAGATAGAAGTGTACCTTTGGCATATTAGCTGTTGGAAAGGAAACTCCAATAAAAAAGCCTATAACGACTCCAACAAATATGTTTATAATAATTCTCATACAGTCATTTGGATACCTAAGAAATCCACTGCAAGCCATAACAGAAAGTGACAACAATCATCAAATCAAATAGAAGATTGAACGCAGATCAACAAATTTCAGAACTTTCATCTGCCATAAGAACTTGAAGCCAAAGAACAGTTAAGCTACAAACCTGTGCCCCATATTTCCAGGTTTTGCCATGTGTTTTCAGATCACAAAGACGGACTGATTCTTGCAATTCAAAGCTGCTCCACATTGCTCAGAAAGTTCATAATTACTTTCTTCAAAAGGACAAGTGGGCCTTCATGAAAACCTAAATTTATAAAAGATACTCAAAAAGAGGTAAAAACAGTGTAAGTTGCTCTAAGCCCAACAAATAACTGAACATCTCAAGCATCAAAAAGTTGACCGACATAGAAATATATATCTAATTAAAGTGAAAGCATCTTATTCAAAGCAAATTGTTACTAACAAAAAAACCACAAGGATTTAAATAACAATGAAATTAAAAGCTAGAGAAATGAGCACCAAAAGACAAAAATAACACCATTGACTCCTTAGGTCAGATGGCTTCATCAGATAGTATGACACATTGTAAAAGTTGATATAGTGCATCAATGCTGCTGAATTAGCTGAACAACCGAATTCAACAGGAATTCAAGCACAAGTTGCAGGGCAGATCGACAGAAAAGAAATTACATATCAAATGGATCAGAGAGGGCAGGGTTTCCTTACAAATAATTCACGTTAAAATTGATCATTATTCCTATACAATTCAAACTATCTATGGAGTATTAGGCATAAAAATTTGGATATTTGTGACTGAGGAATAATAGACATTTATTTATCTTGCTATTCTGTCCGGTGATAAAACAAAAAATAACAACTGCCCTCAGTTTGCAATGAAGTTGATACGTCTATCACATTACTATTAGTTAGAACAACCAGTATTCTATGATCTGACTTTCCACCACTGCTCTAGTACCTACCATTCACATGCTTTTCTCAACTCATCGAGTCTGAGTCAACTGTCCTTCTTAGTGGAGGGAAAGATCGCACGTGCAAAGGTGCATAACAGGTCAAATTTTGGACTCATAAGCGGTGCAAATTCTAAGACAACTGAGGAGGGCTGAAAGAAAGGACACAAATTTCTTACTTTATCATAAAAGCTTACTTTCAATGCTGAGGATTCTATCAGAGAAACTCCTCTTATAGGATAAAAGTTAAAGAACAAAGACACCACATACTAAAGATTGGGTGTGCAGAACATTTCTGTTCATGTCCTTGCCAAATCACCTAAAATGAAATGTGGTTTAATACGTCAACAAGATATAGCCAAGTTGGTTGTCCGGCTGCAAATTCATGATGAACGCGCCGCTATTAACGACACATTACAGAAAAATCTCTTCTTGCACGAGATGGGTGTTCGTCAAACGAACCCCAGATGCTAAAGCTTCTATTTCTAGCTGCGTTGACACGGTTCATGTACAATCTACGATGTGGGGAGAAGAGGGCGAGCGGTTAAATTTTATCACATCAATCTAAATCAAATCCACAACAAATAGCAGCACCAAAAACCCATCTTTTGGTAAAAATGGGAACTAATCCGCCGAGTCGTTGACTAGAGCAACAAACGAACGCCCAAATTTCATCCAAGCTCTCAACAACAGATCCCAATTGACTCGACCGGGGAAGGGGGAATAAAGAAATTTCGCACCTGAATTCGATGGCGGACGCGATGCAGGCGAGCGACAACACGCCGCTCACCGGTGAGCGGAGGAGTGCCGTGGTGCTGCTTCCGCTTCTTCCTCCTCCGCTTTCCTCTCCTTATGGAGGAGATGGCAGGGAAGCGGAAGGGGAAGGGGAAGGGAGAGATACGGGGAACTACGGAGTCCTCGTGTGATCCGTGACCGGCGTCTCGAAGAGGAGCAGCAGAACACGAGGAAGCACGAAGAGTAACGAGAAAAATACGCAAGTGGAGTTCGACAGCGTGGAATTCAAGTTCGGCTGCGGAGGAAACAACAACGAGCGAAGCGAAGAAAAGAATAGCCCTCTTCACTCCGCCCAAACCCCCCCCCTCTCTCTCTCTCTGTCGGTCTCCCTCTGTCTCTCTCTGGGGTCCGGAAACGGCTTTCTTGTCCTGTCCTTCCCCTTATCCTTATCCCGAGCCAGCCAGACTAGTTTGCCTTCTTGGGCTGTTTTGTTTCTAAAAACGGAAAACTTGTTTTGATTTCTGAAAACAGAAGCCTCGTTTTTGTTTCTGAAACATATGACCTGAACCATTTCACAAATCCGAGAACTGTTTCTGCTTTCTTTTATTTGTTGTGTTATGTATAAAGCAAAAGCAATTCAAAATAAACATGGAACCCGGTTGGGGGTTGGGATCCACCAAGAAAATAAATCTCACAAGAGACTTGAATATTGTAGTAAGACTGCATTAATTTTATGAGTAAATTTACATCCATACACAAATTACCAAAGGTTGATTATGATAATAATATATATCATCTTTGACTAAAACTATATAAAAGAAAATGATATAATTAAACACAAGGTATGGGAATGGGATACTTACAAAGACAAGGTTTGGAGGTATCTATCCCTCTCATCTGCCCAGAGTATTTATCTGCAAGCTTATCTGTCCACAATGGAACTCTTAGTATCTCTAGCAAGCATAAAAGCAAGTGGGTGGACTCAACAAGTAATAACAACAAATAATCTCTAATCTCTAGCTATTTACAAAAAGAAAAAAGCTGCACTCAAACAAGACTAAAACTAAGCTCTCTGTCCATAATTAATTGACATGTAAATGTTTAACTACTAAGAACATGTGGGACACTCCACAAAAATAAGAACCAAGCCTGGGGAATATGTTGGAGAGGTGATGATGCACTTGGGTGAAAGCTGCATGGTTAGCTAATCACATGGTAGGATGCTTTTAAGAGAAATAATAATAAAAAAAATGTGTCGAGAGCATGAAACCATTAAACGCATGGATGAGGTACTTGTTTGGAACACAAGGTAGAGTGTGATGATTGAGTCACAGCTGGAGTGATACGGCACAGCCTGCATCAGAGAGTAAAAGTTTGTGATCATGAAAGGGATATATACTTGCATCCTAAGTTGGGCTCCGAGGAGGATCCCATGCTCGGGGATCTGAATAAGTCAAAACAAAATATCACAAGAATTTAAACAAATCAACAAATACTACATCGATTGGGAAAGAATAAAAAAAAGGGTCAACAGACAGGCTGACTTGAATATGGATGCATAGCACAAGGGATCATAATGTCAATAAACATGAGTTGACAACAAGTGGAATTCTTACCATCATTCAACGAGCCATGAAGAAATCAGGTATCACAGTGCAATCTCAGCTATTAAAGTAAAAAATTGCATTGTAATTCCTGTACTTGTAATATAGGACTGGATAAAATAATACAAAAATTGAACATAATTTCCAATACACCAGCTAGAATAACAACCTCAGTTGATATACAAACCAAAACTCCAAAATCATTTACCAAGATTGAAATGTGAAGAACCTTAAGAACCTTAAGAAACACCAGCTAGAATAACAACTTCATAGCCACATCATCAGATGAAGAAAATTGAAAACATCAACATTTATATCTTAATAACACAAAAAGAGGTCCACCCAAAGAGTAAATTGTGTCGACCGTCAGGAATAAATAAAAGCGAAATTCTACTTGCAATAACCACAAGTACCTCTGTACATGTACATCGGTTTATACCAATCATACACACTAAGAACAGCAACTTCTTTCCACCATAAAAATTGAGAATTAAAGTGAAATTAGAGGTAAAAAGATTTAAGATAGATGAGTGGAAAAGAACAAATCAGACACAGCATCACACCAACTTCAAAAGGTGACAGAGGCAAAAAGAAATAACACTTTTATGTGTAATACAATTACCCATTACAAAAAGAACACGAGTTCACAGCAGAATCAAGTTCACCCTATCCAACCATATTCCATAGTTGACACACAAATTTAAAGCTTTAACATGCATGGATGAATACATAACCAAGCCAAAGATTTAACCACATACACTGGTATAAAACCAAAAAAAATAAAAAGGATTTAATTGTACATGATACGACTGTTAGTTGCACTCAATGATAAATACAAAGTAATTATTAAAATATGCAAGATGATACCATCAGCACATGTATAGTAGCTGAATGTACACAAGTTATCCCATTCAACTGTTGGTTATACCAGAAAATGAAGAGGTAGTGAGACCAACTGCAACAGTAGATCACTTTCTCAGGGTACAGGGTTTGCAGCAACGGTCAGTGACAATATCGCAGCACCACAACAAGCAGAGATAATTTAGACATGTGCCATAATATGCCATACATTTTATGACACCTGGCAGGCAGGCACATGTTCCGGAATCTCCAGAGAACCCCATTGCTTTGGCTCTTCATAAGCTCTTCTAAGATTGCGGATGAACCAGCATCAGGTGATTTTAAGGCACATCTAAAATATGAAAAATCCCTAAAAGCAATCAAATCGCATGCTTTCTACTAAACTTTATCATTTTCTGAAGAAAAAAATGAAAAGAAATCAATCGTATGCTAGTGGTCACACGTGGAGTAAGGAAAAGTCAAAGACTGTCTGCACATAAGATGGTCCTAAAGGATCATCTACATGATAGCTTCCTATGACCTGGCTACGCCTCTGACAGTGAGAAGGGACCTGAGGCCAGGGAGCTTGTATAGATTATATCTATTTTTGCATCCTGTTAATATTGACTTTTGAGCAGCATATCCTTAGAACTTCACTATGTTGCTCAGGAGGAAGTTTCTTTAATATTTCTGCTATCGCAACCTTATGCTTCTTTTGCAGATCATCAAGTTCCTTCTGCTGCTCAGTCAACAAACGCTCTAATTTTTTAACAATGAACTGCATATCCTCGGACTTATTTGCAAGAAAAGTTTCATTTAGTTTGGTATCACTGCCCTCAAGCTGTCCAGAGTGGACTCCACGGTTACACAACTGAAATCCAGCACATGAAGGTGATTCATCCAGGTCTCGGTTTAGACTGTTAGTGGAGGATGGGTTTCTCGCATTATAAGATATTAGTAATGACCCAGTTCCCAGATTATTGTCACCACCATCACCAGAACCTGGGGAACGTATCTGTTGTTTAGGTGAAGAGCGGTCAATTGACCGGGATGTCCTCTGGCCATCCTTTTTAAAGGAATCACCTTTTTCATCATAAACCTCAAGAGATATGTCTTCACTTCCGTGCAATTCCAACTCAGAACATGCATTTGAGTGTGCAAGAGATGCTGGAGAGTCTACACTAGTTGCCTTTGGAGAATCAGACCAATACTTCCGACCAGAAGGGAGCCGTTCTAGGGTAAGACTGCCAGCTGGATTGTCTAATTCATTAGGCAAAGCAGAAACTTCATCTTCAGCTTCCGAATCATGGCTATGACAATCAGAAACTGTTACATAATTGCTATGATATTCAAAAGCTTCTCCTGACATCCATTCTGGGACATAGGCATGTATCTCAGCATCTATCATTGCAGCAATCGTTGTGACATCTTGATCCGTAAGGTCTAATTCTGCCACCATTTCTGTGGCAACACTTACTGATGTGTCCGCCTCAATATCAAATGGAAAATGAATGTTGCGAATTTGACCTATGGTAAAACAAATCAGCAACAGAAACATTGAGCTGAGAGTAATTACGAACAGATACATCAGTCACAAGTAAACAAAGAAGCAAACTTGTAAACCTGTTGAATCCGCAATCCGTAGCTTTAAAAATATTGTGTTGAGGTCTTTGCGTTGACCTTCCACAGTGAAATCTCGACCAGCTGTAGCTGGTTCTAGTTGGTCATACCCATAAATTGTACTTGCATTGGAATGACCAACATTATCTGCATTTGCAATCTAAAATTACCAAAAGAAAGAGGATGACAGAATCACAAGAAATACATGTCTCATAAACATCAACAAATATACTATGACCATTATAAGATCCAGTCCAATCTTTCTTTACCTGATTGACTTGATGATGATCTCAGGGAATAACCTATGCTGTCAGTGTCTGCATCTTCTTGGAGAAAAGAGTCTAGTAATAATTCCCTTGCGGGCAATCTCTCAGAAACATTGGCAATGCATTTTTCGATAAACCTCTTGACTCCTGGATCCTTTACCTTAGCCAATGAAGCAGGCTTGATTCCCTACATGCCAATAATGAAACTCATCAGACAGCCCACTGCAGACAATCATTTTGCAAAACACCTGACATAAGTAGGCATTAAGCTTATGACATTCAACTAAGTTAATATTTCCTTAAGACTAATAAAACAAATGGAACAGGAGTAAAGTTGTGTGAAACTTCCAAATAGCATAGGAACCCAGTCACACAAAGGAACTCCTAGAATATTTTGAATGATAAAGTACAGAGCAAACAAAAACCTTCTATACTCGGATGTGTAAAGACAATTTCTACAATATGATGGCAACACACAGAAATATAACATAATTATTAGATGAGGACATTCAAAACATGTAATCATAAACAGCACAGGAACAATGGGAAGTTAGCATTTTCTCAAGCATCATTATGTACGAAAAAAGATTCATCAAAGAGCAAAAGAAAAAAAAGGATATGTTAAAATCTGTCAAATCATAGCACATGATCCCAACTTACTTAATGATCTGCTACCCTGACCATAAAAGAATGAAATACAGAACTTAATGAACCATGACCCACTTAGTAAGGGTGGCTACATTTGAGTGTGGGGGAGAACAAACTTAGATTATTTTTTCAACTTGATAAGCTGTCACATCAGAACAGGAAACATGATCTGGGACTAGTGTAAAATCCCAATCTGTGATCAGTTTATCCAAATTTGACCCAATTACCCAAGTAACAAGTTTCTCGACCGAGCTTGGTTTATTTCCAGCTGGTTCAAATTGGTTAGTGAGTCCAGGTCGGGGATTAACACATGTTCCATCAGTATCATTTCTTTGGTACACTAAAACCGATTATGAGTTAAACAGGGATCCTTACAGAAGCAGCCAAAATGACTGAACAAGAACAATTCAGTTTCAATAAAAAGAACTTTCAACCAAATGCCTTAAGTACACAGAAGAAGACCTAACTCAACCATCTCAAAAGATGGATTAATCTCAATATTTAGGAACTCGTATTCAAACACAGGGGTTTCTTTTATACAAAAAATAAAAAATAGCATCTAATTCATGATCTTTTAATAGCCTTTAGTTGCAATATGACTCATCTAACAACTTATGGTCACTATCAAATGCATCAAGGCATCAAAAGTCATCAAGATGCATAAGGTATCTCACGGCCATTACAGTGTCGAGCTTCATATGAAGGTTGACCCTTGCTTGTTGAGGCTCTTGAAAAGCACAAGTATACATAATGTGATGACATTGACACTATCTACTTTTTGTTCTAGTAATATGATAAAAAAGATTTTTGAACTAGTATCATGCCAAGAGTCAAATGAAGCAACCAAACAAAATAATTGTATTAATGAATCCAGTGCTCAGTAAATTAACAACGAAAAGTTAAATCGACCATGAATATATAGTAAACTCACTGAGGTCACTTTCTTGTATATTTGTGCTGCATTGGTGCATTCCACATACGGGTACTCAAATGTCACTAACTCTAATAAACACATGCCAAATGCATATATATCAACAAGCTCATTATATTCTTCCTCATAAAGTTCTGGAGCCATAAATTCGGGTGTCCCTGCAACAACATAATAACTGCTAAAAACCACTTATTCCAACTTTTACGAGCATTTGAAATTCAACATTCCAACCAAAAGGAAGACAGTATTCACCAATGCAACTATGAGCGGAGTGAGCATGGCAAAGAATGGCTGCCAATCCTAGATCACCTATTTTCACCTCCCCCTGGTTCCCATTTATGAAAATGTTGTCACATTTCAGGTCTCTGTGGATTACTGGTGGATCATGGCTATGGAGGTAGTGAAGCCCACTCAAGATTTGCCTCGACCACTTCTTCAATGCTCTTACATCCACATGCTTATGTTTTTTCCTGTACCTGATCCAGCAAACAGACAATAAACAATTATCTAGCGATCTTAGCTGAACAAAAGAAATATGAATATTCTTAAAGAGAAACCGAAAGCGGTGGATAAAGGACGCACTGACGCAATGTCCCAGAGTTGAAGACCTCGGTGATGATGTTGATATTATCATTCTTGGTGTCGACCCATGAGTTAAAGAACTTGATGATGTTTTTATGCTTCAGGGTCTTGAGCAAGTGAACTTCCGAGTGGAACCGGTCCAGGTCGTCGGCATTCCGAAGCAAATCGGCCACCTTCACCTGATTCCAAGCCACCTCTATTCCTTCCACCTCATCAAAAGCCTTGTAGCTGGCAAATCGCGCTCTCGTCAAGGATTCCGAACAGCTCGAAAATGCCAACACACAACCAGACAAAAAGGAAACTACAAACAAGCAAACCCTACTTAAGCCAAGAACCACGGATTAAGGATACACGGTCTTGAAAGCCCCCTTTCCTAAAACCTCCTTATACTGCAACATCAAGCGCAACAGAGGATGAACGAATTAGGGCATAATCAATCAATAATTTGCTACAAGCAATCGTGTTCGGCTATCATAGAACATCAGCACGGGATTGCCGTGATGAAAAGAGGCCACCGGCCGCAAATACGACAATTATCCGGCAAATTGAAAGGATTGGAAGGGCTATGGATTGGGAGAACTGACCCGGCCGTAGCGCCCAGTGGGATCGATCTCCACGAACTCGGCTTCCGGATCCTCCGGCTCCTGCTCCGGCGTGGAACCTCCGTGCATTTTTCTCCGCCAGTCCCCAACCCTCTCGAGCACTAATCCTGGAAAAGCTTTGAAATTGCTCGACGCATTTACCCAAAGAGAACAGAGAGTCGAATTGCTCGCGATCCGGGTGTTAATAAAAGGCAGGGGGCAGAGGCGCTCCTTGGCATGCGTGGGGTCGGAGTTTTTGTTTTTTGTTTTCGTTTTTCTCCTGTTGTGTCCGGCTGTGGGAAAACAAAAACAGACGTCTCAAATACGTCTGTGCCAATGCGTATTTTTGGACGCCATTAAATTGCTTTCTGGGGAAGTTCTGCTGCTCCGCAGGAACAGTATTAGATGTCACCCTTCCCCCCCCTCTACACACGTGGTAGCCTGCTATTGGAGTGTCGCATGTGCCCCAACAAATCTGAATTTGATTTATATTATTGAATAACTAAAATATTTTTAAAATTATATTAAGTAATCAGTGAATTTCTAGGAAAATATATTTTTTATTTTTTTTCTAGGGAGCTACCTCTACATCATATTTTGTGAAGGGTACTCATTATTTATCATATATTTTAAAATATCCTTAAAAAGACAATAGATCAGAATACATTATAATATTTTTGAATAGGTTTATAATTTTTTAAATAATATAAATTTATTTTTTTAAAAATTAGATTATTCATCGGGTGTAAATAGATACTGTTTCATTATATTATCAGGAAACATTTCAGACATTATGGTAAATTAATCATGACCTTTGAGAAATATATATATATATATATAAAGGAGTACCACTCATTAAGAAAACTTTGTTTTCAAAATTCACCCATAATTCATTATCTCTATATCTAATGAAACACCAATATCCACCATCCATAAGCAGCAATTAATTGTAGATGGTTCCATTTACCTCAAGAAAATAAAAAAAGAAAAGGGGAAAATAAAACAAAAGGACAGCTTGATCATCTTTGGAATCAAATGAACATGGACAAGGTTGGTAGGCTGGGTCCCATCTGGCCACCAATGGCATGCAACTCTGGACTCCCATCATTGGCAATTCTTTTCCTTCTCTTGCAGATGCAGTCAACCATCTTTAATTTGATTGCAGCAATCAGAGGGAAATGTTATTGCAGATTGAAGGATGCTTTTTTACCCACTTTATGAATCATTCAGTGACTTGTCACTTTCTGCTCACTTTACCAAAATCCTTCATGAAAAACATCTTCTTCCTACTTCATTTGTATTACTCATGTAGTTTCATTATCCATTTGGAGAGTTTATCCAAAAAAAATCTTATTTTAGAATTACTAAAGAATAAGTATATTATTGTCTTCAAGAATTATTATATGATTTACAGGGTTTGAATATGAATCCACCCAAATTCGATTTAAAGACCTTTTAATCATCTGAAAATTAAAAAAAAGTATATCAGGTATTTTGAAACAGTATATTGAATTGAATAGATTTTATAGTATTACGATAATAAATGAATTGTATTACATTCGATCGCATAATACATATTAAATTAGGCTTGAAAAAATCATAAAAATAAAAAAAAATATTAATTATTTATATCATATATATTTTTTTAAGGTAAGAGTTTGAGATTAGTTACACAAATTTTTATGATATTATAATATGAATTACATTGTACTTAAAATCAATGTAAAATTAAACAGTGACCTTTCTATCACTCTAAAAGATTAGCTGTTACTGATTTCCTTTACCTTCTTTTGGATTTATAAGCCATGGAACTAAAAATATATCTTTCACATGCTTCAGCTTGGGTTCTCCATGAATCGGTGCTGTATGGGAGTTGGATCAGCTTTGTTTGCAGGTGGTGCTTCCATCTTCTTCGTCCGGTCATTGCTGTCATGTACCCTTCGAAGGCCCCATCCATCCATAATTCATATAACCAGAAATCACAGGCACACACACCCACGAGAGAGAGAGAGAGAGAGAGAGAGAGAGAGAGAGAGAAGAAACAAACAAAAACATTATTTTCAGCGCCAAGATGAGTTCAGCTTAACCAGTTTATGATGAATCATGGAGAGGATGTGAGAGGATTGACTGCATTGGCTGACACGAGCCAAGCTCGAGACAGTACAAACACCCATGTTTGCTCCAAGGGTTGATGTCCTTTGATCTGCAAAAGAAAAGCCAGTCCCCTTTTCTTCTTCCTTGTTTCCTTCAATTTCCTCGTCACATTCAAGACCAGTGGGCTGCACCATTTTCTTCCTCATCTCCATTAACCCAACACCAATCATGAGTCAGCTTCTAATTTCCGCATATTATTTTTATACTTGATGATGGGCGACCGCAGTCTATATCTCCTCCCCCTCTGGTCTCTCTCATCCCCTATTTCGTCTTCATAGCGTTGCTTGGCTCTCTCTCTCGTATTGGCAGATGCAGGACCCGCTATTTACGTTTCCTTCCTGCTTCGCTCCCGGCGAGCGGCTCCCCGAGGATCCCACCACCGCAGCTGCGACCAAGTCGGGCCAGAGCATCGTCACGTCCATTTACCGCACCAAGATCGCAGGCCACTGCCGGCTGATCACCGTCACCTGGTGCCGGGACGTGCTGGTCCGCGGCCTCTCGGTGTCGGTCGACGACGAGGGCTCAGGGAGCGGTACCGAAAGCTGCGGCGGCGGCGGCGGCAGCCAGCTGGTTTGCTTCAAGGTGGAGATGCGGCCATGGCACTTCTGGCGCAAGCACGGCTCGAGGCGCTTCCAGGTGGAAGGGAAGGCCGTGGACGTCCTGTGGGACCTTCGGAGCGCGAAATTCTCCGGCGAGCCGGAGCCGCAGTCCGGCTTCTACGTCGCGGTGGCCTCCGACCACGAGGTGGTGCTTCTGCTGGGCGACAACAAGAAGGAGGCCTACCGGAAAACCTGGTGCCGCCCGGCCACCATCGACGCCACCCTGGTGTCCAGGAAGGAGCACGTCTTCGGGAGGACGCGGTTCGTGACGCGAGCTCGGTTCCAGGACAAGGACAGGCCGCACGAGATCGCCATCGAGTACAGCAGCAGCAGCAGCGGCTGTAGCATCGGCGGCAACATCGACCCGGAGATGGTGGTCAAGATCGACGGCTCGGTGGCCATCCACGTGAAGCATCTGCAGTGGAAGTTCCGGGGGAACGAGTGCATCACGGTGAGCAGGGCGCGAGTGGAGGTGTACTGGGACGTCCACGACTGGCTCTTCAGCCCGGGGCTGAGGCACGCCATGTTCATCTTCAAGCCCATCGCGCTGCTCAGCTCCTCGATGCCGCTGTCGTCTTCTTCCTCGAGCACCGTCGACAAACACATTGCGCTCATGACGGGCTCCTCGGGGTTCTGCTTGTTCCTCTATGCATGGAAGTTAGATTGACCATGTCACGGTCCAATGTTACTGCTGCTATCATCGCGGTTTGGATTAATAAGAGTTTTAAGAGCCATTTTTGATCCAAGTTTAGCGCTTTCGGTGATGAGATCTGAGGGAAGCTGGACATGCTTGTGCAGGAGGAGAAGGGAGGGGATGACTGGCGAGCACATGGGAAGTCGGGGGAGGTCGAAAGGTAGCAACAGCTGGTGTGGTTGAATAAAGGGACATGATAAAGGATGACAGAGTGGACTCACCAACATGGCGTCCAATAATGCTATTCTCTCAACAGTCCAAGCCACCACCGTCACCGCTACCGCTACGACCACCTCCAGCTTTCCTCCCCCTGTAAACCACACCCCAAATCTCTCTTCTTTGTTGCTTCTGCTGCTGCTGCATTTGATTCCGCGTCATTCATCGAGATCAGATTCGCTCCCCCTTCCCCAAATTAATTAGACGATCCAATAATTTAACTGTATAATCACTTTAATTGATGTGTTCTTGCATATCTATCCTCTGCAAATCCTAAGTTTGAAGTGGACTAAATGAAGTTTTGGGTAAGAAGGGTCAATAATCATGTCTTGGGTCATTTTAGTTAGCGTATAGTTCACTACTAACGACTAGAGGAAATATTCTACATAACATAAATATTTCATGAATATTTTTTATTTCATGGATGCTGTAAAAAATAATTGATCATTTGTCTTCTTATATTGACTAACTATGAACCACATGATTTGAAGTGAATATTTTTTATACCATTCGTCCCTCCTCTATAGTGTATTTGATGAATTCTTCGCAGGGAGATCTTGAAGTCCATCAACTTTATTAGCAGGGCAAACTGACAAATGTTGCTTCTGTTAGTAGTGATCGATTTTCGCTTAGTTATATAGATTGGTTAGTTATCAAATAGTTTTTCGATGATTAGCCCAACGAGAGTACGACAGGTGCCATTTGATACTTAATCAAAGAAAGACATATTGAGTGGCCTTTGAGGCTTAGCTTAAGGACAACATATCTAACGACCCTCGATACTTAGCCTGAGGGAATATTGGGTAGTCTATGATGCTTGGCCTAAGAATGATATATCCGACGATCTTTGATACTTGGCCCATGGAGGACCCATCGGGTAGATATTGATGCTTAACTCGAGAAAAGCACATCAGGTAGCTTTTGATGCTTAACTCGATGAGGACGCATTGAACAACCTTTGATGCTTAGTCCGATGAGAGCACATCAGATAAATATTGATGCTTACTCGAGAAGGGCCATATAAGGCAGCATTTGATGCTAAGTCTGAGAAGAGCATATCGAGCAACCTTCGATGCCTAACCCAATAAGAAAATATCGAGTAGCCTTTACTACTTAATCTGAAGAGTGTGTAATTGGTGAATATTATTGTTTAGCTCGAGAATAGTATATCAGGTAGATCTGAATCCTTAGTTCAAGAATGATGTATTGAACTAATAAGTCGATGAAAGAGTCACTGATAAATATGTTTGATAGGTTATATGTCATATAGAGTGAGAAGGATGAGCGAAAAAAATAGACGAGAGGCAACTAACAAGATATTTGACAATTGAACTAATGCATAAGGCTATAAATGACTTTTGAGTAATAAAGGGACTCATTCTGCCTCCTAAATCCTCTCGTGTCTTTATCCTTCTAAGCCCTTTGTCCACTTCTCATCTTAGTCCTCCAAAGTGTCCTCCCTACGAGGTTAGGAAGATGTCTTCTTCCTATTCAACTGAGTTTCAAACATCGTGATGATATTTGTTCATATAAAGGTCTCAACTTGTTTTTTGATAATGGAGGTCAATGGTTCAGCTTCCACCTATTTTGTGAAGTAGTTGATTATAGTGATTAGAAACCTAAGTCAGCTTAAGGCAGGCGGGAAAGGGTTGAGTAGGTCTATCCTTTATTGAGCATTTTGACCGGGTGAGGAATGTTCACCGGTGCTGGAGGTAGTGGTTGTTGCTATTATTGTTGGTTAGTGTGTGTAGCCAAGAGTTGAGCTAATCACGGGATGAAGGGGATGATAGATTTCATCATCCCCGTCAGGGCTTGCACTAGTTATGTTAGATTAAGAAAGACTTCGATCGAAGCCATCATGTATATTGATACATTCAACAGTAAAAAGAATATATGATCGTTGAACAACCTCTGGTATCGAAATAGAGTGTAAGCAATCTTAGAAGCTTTGGTAGAATATAACACCTATTGTTGTCCAGATTTAGTGATAGTATTGTAAGTGGGGACCGAGACATCTTCGTTGGGACACTCGTCAAAGAATCGATGGGATGATGTCTTGTGGCATCTCAATCCTTCCTCTAATACCAAAATGATAAGAAAAAAAAAATAATCATCCACATGGAGCAATAGACCAACCCGACTCGATCCTATCTTAACTTATATTAGGAGTCATTCGACTTGTATAGTAGGTTTTCAATATCTAATGTGAGGGTTAACCTGTATTCAATACCAATGTCTTGTAAACTCCATCATCTAATGCCTATGTTAGGTTCAAGATGAATTAAGTAGAGTTTTGATTACCTACCCAAATTTGGTCGCTAGCTATCAAAGAAAATATTCTATGTAAGAAAAAAATATTTTCAAATATTTTTCGTTTGATCGATTGTTGAGAAATTTTATTTTTTATTTTGATCGTTAGGAGGCCACATGTCCGGACAAATAATTTTTATATAAAAAAATAAAAAAAATAAAAAAAAATTATGACTTTGGAGGGATGTATATGAATTTTCTTTATAAATTAATCAATGCATGGCAGACAGGAATCAGATTCCAAGTTTATGATCGGACGAATATAACCCATCTTTCTGCAGATATGTTCACGGCCCCACACGTTTGTTGTCTCACAAATTTTTGGTTCATCGAGAGGGTCTGCATCTGCCCGGACATTATCGGACTCGGGTACGGTACCTATGCTCCGCAAGTTTGATCCGAAGCATCACATCTCTTGTCTCTAATATAGAAGAAATGTTGGACATGTTTCTTTTGGATCCATAAACTTATTGGATTCAAATATGAATTCGTTATTGAGGCATATACGGCTTCCTTACTTCTTAGCCTTTCTCTTCTCGACGACGAAGAAGAAAGCGAGCGCGACGACAGAGAAGGCCGAGAAGCACGCTGCGGCGATGCCCAGCGACGAATGCCGGCCCGTGATCCCGACAACGTCGAACAGGTTGGTGGTCTTTTGGGCGTTGGTGCTCTGCCCGTAGGCGACCTCCGCGTCCTCGGAGTCCAGCACGTAGGCTCTCACGAAGAAGGTGGCCGTGGGGATGCTGCGCTCCACGGTGTACGCCACGGAGCCGGCGGTGGCGTAGGGCTGGGTGGTGATCTTGAACTGGCACGTCTTGTCCTTCTTTAGGTTGTCGTCCGTCTTGCGCCACCCGCGGTCGGCTTGGCTCGCCGGAGCGTAGCAGAAGCTCACCTTCACCTTCTTGTAGGCTGAGACGGTGGCCCCCGGCAGGCTCTGGTTGATCGCCCAGGTCACGTTCATCTGGTCGACGCCAGCATACAACACTGCATGTCTCATACGAATGAGAATACTTCAGAAACCGATGCCAAGAGAACTTCTTGTCCCATCATCAAACACAAACAGAGAGAAAGAGAGAGAGAGAGAGAGAGAGGATCGTTTTCCTCTGAGTGGTGTTGGAATATTCTTTCGTTTGTAAAGGACAAATTTCCAACACACCGTCGTCCTTTTGTTGCATAGGCAAAAGATAAAGACATATGTCACACGAAAGACCGTCAGACAAAAAGAAAGCATAAAAGAAACAGCGGTGCATTTCCGCTAGGGAAACAGGGAGCTTAAGAACATCATCCACAGTAGTTGAAAGGTACTGAAAGATGGGAAGGAGGCTTGCAGATGATTCTTTTCTTAAGAACGATCGAGCATGATGACATGATCAATGAAAAAAATCTTTCGCAGAATAAATCAATGACTAGAATTCAATAAGAAACCAGTTAATCCATGATGCTGGAACAGAAGGTACAGACCTTGGCCTGGACTTGGGGATGCAGTGACTATGATAGTCTTAGGGAGGGAGGAGAACAGCACCGCCGCAGAAGGCCCGAGATAACAGAGGAGGAGGAGGAGGAGGAGGGGGAGAACCCTGACTTGACACGAGAGCAAAGCAGCCATTGGTTCTTCTTTGCCTTCAATTGTGGGAGCTCCCTTGGTTGATGGTGGCTTCTTATATTTAGTTCCCAATCGACTGACCAGTGGAAAGCCAAATAGATCTTGCATTGCTCGCGCAAGATTTGTGGGGGCTCTTCATGGGCCCAAAGGATGCTGGAGTAGCAGTGCAGGGAAGGGTGATCATGCGAACACGGTGACCTCCATCATCGGCCGAGCGGTAACATGACCTCCGTGGTTGACTTTATCCTTCGTGGGCCGAACATGCTTTGACTGTCAATTGCACGAAGGTGTGACACGTCGATGAATGCAGCGTGGTGTTTCGACCGCCGTTTCGCCCGAACCGGCATGAAACGGGCGATACGTACCGGTCCGGACGTGAACCGCTGAACGGACGGCCGCCGATTCGGGCGGTCCGCCTTGAGCCGTTAACTGTAGCTTTTAGGGACCGCATTCGCGCCACCACTTCGCCGGAACGCGAGTGCGTTTCGCCTCGTGCTACCGCCCGTCGCTGCTCGCCGTCGACGGTACGCTTCCTCCTCCTCCTCTTCTTCCTTCCATCTCTTCCTCCACTCCTCTTCTTCCTCTTCGAAACATCGCCCATGTACCGGTGTTTCGTGTGTCAGTGGTCTGGCTTTGTCCCTCTTTGAGTTTGCGAAGGGTGTCAAGATTACAGGAAGAGCAAAGGTATCTGTTTGACATTGCTACTCTTCTTCCTTGGATGTACTCCGGATCCGGGTTTAGAGGAGGGGCTTCTGGTTGAAGGGCTTCCTTTTGTTTGGTACGTCTCCTTCCTACTATTCTGTAGTTTCTTGATGTATCTCAGAATGTCTACAACTTCCCCATTCTGAAGGATGAGCAGTAGAACTAAGTCAATTCTGCATGATTCATGTGCTTGAAATGTGTAATGCTTTCCACAATTACTTTTCATTCTCCATTGTTCTAAATTGTTTTCTTAGTTTTAGGGCAACCTTGGTGGTTGCTCCCTCTTAGTCGCATGAGTATGAATCTGTATGCAGAAGGTAGATCTTTGTTCTTGCTAACATAAACCGTAGCAATCCCTCGGCTCAGATTTAACTTGCTCATGTATTTGACTGAAGATTGGGTGAATGGTCGGTCATGTTGATCCAGCCTAAATCTTATGATGCTCTATATCAGGCTACTTACCTTTTGGATGGGAGAAGGATTGGATTGTTATGATGTTGAGATATAGTTGTTCTTCTTTGAAAATGGACATGCAAATGAAAATAAGGGCATTGAATAGGCATGCAAGCAATATGATCTTGATGAGTTTTTTTAAAGGAACTCTCCATAACAATCTTCAGACTTGTCAGAGCATCGGGTGTAATATTTACTCTACAAACTTAATTATATGGAAGCAAAGTCACTGCTTTTGCAAAAGCAGAACAACTTCTTGATCCATTTTCCCAGTAGTTGCACCTTTCTTTATTACTTGAGAGACTACAGATCAAAAAGTCTATTGATCACTCTACTTCTCAAGAAACATCAATAACTGTGTATGGGTCACAGAAGTTAGTTTCTTGTGTAAATCATGCTTAATGTCCAGTTAAATCTTATGGTTTAATCAAAGACTGTTATTCTTTAAGATTGCTAATGCAAAAAAAAGAAGATAAAGAAAATGACAAGAAGAGGGGAGGTGATTAATGTTGTTTTAGACTGAAAAAGAAGAGTCTATCCATCCTCTTAACCAATAAAATGGATCAAGAGATGGACCAACATGCCAAAGACACTAACATATGAGATATGTTGTCTGATAACAGATAAGATTTCCTCGACTGCACAAGGAAATCTCTGAACAGTTGAGGAAAATCATCTCTGCTAATATGTATAAATAGCCACCAAGTTCACTTTCTCAAGCATACTTTGTAATTACATTTCATACTCTATCATGGTATCAGAGCCGCTTCATACTCTATCACTATCCACATTGCAAGAGTATTCTAGTAGTATCTTAAGTTATTTTTTTTAATTGAAAGCCATACTATGGAAGAAATTATGCTAGATTAAATGGATGCTTCAGAGAAAATCATGTTTTATATCAAATTGGGTGGAATCCTGTCCTAGGAATGAAAGTGAAATAGGTCCTGGATATATCTTTCTTGGACCCTTTAAATTGATGAGTGATGTCAATTTCATGTAACAGTGTGCCCCATGTTCGCATGTGCTATGCTGGCCCAATGCTTGATGTAGTATGTGTGTTTAAGAGAAGACATTGTTTAAAACAACAATCTGCTTGCCTGCCTGGGCAGTCACTTAGACTGGGATGGCTTACGAGTCTTTTAATTTACTCCATAAGCACTGATTTGATTGCTGTGGATATTAAATGGCTGCTGAGTTTCCTGTTGCAGTGACTGATCGACTCATTTGAAGTACTTTTGATGTTGCAAATGCATCATACTGTGGTTTTTCAGTTAATGGACTTGTTACTCATTATAATATACTTCTAGATGCCTCAAAATCTCTCCTGACACCTTCTCTGATGCTGCAACTGTCAATGTAGCAATCAAATGAGTTGTGAATCAGCAACTGCTGCTTCTATTGACAGTAGTTGCTGTTGTCACTCACTACCATAGCTTCCTTCCATTGCATTGGTTAAAATAGCTTCCCAACTTAGTATCACTAGGTGGTTGCCTGACTCCATGGCACTTGGTTACTTAGGTTGCCTGTTTAACACCTTTCATCTTCTAAAATATTATACCAGGTGAAACTTTAGCTTTAGCTTGTAATATATTTTTTTAAGGTGGCGAGTTTCATGGTCAGAGTGAGGAAGGAGGTTTATTCATCAGGGAAGACCACCGAGAATCCCACAGGTCAGGTCATGGTCAATGACTATATGTTCATTGTCTTTCCTCTGTTTGCCAAATTTTTGGAAGCGCAAAATTTGCTTACAAATGTTTCCAAAAAGCTTTAACATTTTGATAAGAATAGAGCAAAGATGATATTATAGAGCATGCTTCGGCTCATCTTCCAACTTTGTTCTGGGAAGTGGGAACAAAAACCATAAATTGAACTTGATGCCAAATGGTGCCTTTTAAAAATGCTTTTTGTGAAGACAATGACAAAAATAAAATAAAATCAAACGAACTATATCTGTTTCATACAGTAAATAACATTCATGTTTCTTGTTTGTTTGTCATTCAGATAAATCTTTATTCTGTTTTTTGACTTCTTTACCTGTTCAGGTTTATAATGTTACCAAATTCTTGGAGGAACAATGTGGAGGAGGCGATGATTTATTGACGGTGACCAGTACATCCTTCTCTATTAAGAACAGTAGAAAAACCATTTTCATCTTCTTGGATTTGAGGAAAGGATTCAACTGATAATTTTGAAGAGGTTGGGTTGGATAGAGCACTTATTGCAAGGGCAACGATCAATGAGCACTGTCAATGAGATGCAGCAACAATCCTTTCCAAGATCAAGACACTCGAATTCATCATAACTTCAGTTTTTGTTTCCACTCGCAATCTTGGGATGAGCTACTGCCATCAGAGTTATACACTCAATCAGCTTAAAATCTTTTGATGCGCTTGCAATGTTAAGCTGGTGGTAGTTGTATACGTCAAAAGTCATTTCCTTGTTCCTCATTCATAAAACCTTTTGACAACAAAACCTTTCGCCATTAAGCTTTGCTGTAGTGAACTGTACCTGAGAAACCTAAAAGTTGCTCGAGGTTCTCCCTCGCCATTTCCTTCACTCGTGCACTTTCTAATCTTCATTGTACATGTATAGAACTCAAACATGATGTGGCCTATGGACCTGATGATGATGTTGCTCTTTTCCCACTCTTTTATCGAGTTGCGTGTTTCTGTGGAAAGGACTTGTCTCCTTGCTTGAGCATCTTTTTTCTTCTGCCACTTTCTAGGTTTCACATGAAGTTGAACTGCTGACAGCTTTGTTATTCTTTACATTGAACTGTTCAATCTTGATCAATTATTGCACTTTGTGAATTTTGGCGATTTAAATTCTGTTTATTTTGTGGTTTTATGTTTTTGCTATGCAACAGTGACAGATTACATCCTCTTTTTTCCAGTAATTTCTTGTTGCTTCCATTGTGATGATGATTTGTTATCCTAATCAGCCTTTTAATCAAAGAGTAGACGATATATGTCTACGATTGAAAAGCTTGTTGGGAACATGCCGTCGTCATCCGTCCACAATCTTATACGCGTTCTCCTTCCAGTTTTACTCTCATGGAACCGCTACTAGTTTCATATCCACTTCGTTTCCTACCCTTCTTGTCATTGCAACAAGCCTGTGGGTCCTGGCGGGGCCTGGTCCCCTCGGCCTCACCTCGAGACGGGGTGGCCCCGTGAATCTGTGGCTACGACGAATGGAGTCGCGAACCCGGGACGTGCGCAATTCGTATCTCACATCGCGACCTGAGTGGCCCCAACACACGCGTCACGGTCTCGAACGAACGAGGGCAGCGGCCATCGCCGACATGGCGTTGACCGCCTCACCGTCGGTCAAACCGTTAGGCGCCCCAAGCACGGCAAGCGAAGCCTCCCCCTGTCCCTCCCTCGCTCCGTACCACCAGCCCCATCTTTATCCTCCCCCTTCTCTCTGCTTCCCTTATCTTCCCCTGCCCACAGCACCACCATCAGCCATAATTATATGAACTAACCAACGAAGGAATCCACCGAACCTTTCTTTCTCCTTTTTCTTTTTGTTCATATTTGTATTCGACGACAACGCAAACTCGCAGCCGCCAAATTTTACTCCGCCGTTGAATTCTTCCTGTTCTAGTCGTCTCTCTCCAAAACAATTTTTCTCTCTGCTCCATCAGCAATGGACTCTTTCTTCCCCCTGCCACTGAGATAGGAAGACGGAGCAGAATACTATGGACGGCGAGGATCCTCCCTCCTCCTCCGGAACTCCCCGCAAGACCCTTCTCCGATCAGCCACCTGGACCTCCCGCTCGATTTCCAACCCTAACCCTAACCCCAATCCCCAACCCAGCCGGCCGCCCAAACCCGGCCGCCTCGCGCTCCCTCCTCCCCCACCCCTCGCCGCTTGGCCCTGCCCCGCCTCCGACGACTCCGGCCACTGGCCCGCCACGCCCTCCGCCTCCTCCACTCCTGCCGCTGCTGCTGCGGACGACGGCGACGGCGACGTCTCCCGCGTTGACGACCACGTCTACCTGGGTGGCGACTCGGTGGCACGTGACCGCGCGGCCCTCCGCCGCCACGGCATCACCCACGTGCTCAACTGCGCCGGCGCCGCCTGCCCCGACCACTTCCGCGGCGAGCTCGCCTACCGGACGCTGTGGCTCCGCGACTCTCCCGCTGAGGACCTCGCCCCAGTCCTCTACGATGCATTTGACTTCCTCGAGCGCGCCCGTGCCGCCCCACGAGGCCGCGCTCTCGTCCACTGCCGCCGCGGCGCCTCCCGCTCCGCGGCCCTTGTCGTCGCCTACCTCATGTGGCGCCGCGCCCTCCCCTTCGACGACGCCCTCCGAGCTGTCCGCGCCGTCCGCCCCTCCGTCGACCCCAACCTCGGCTTTGCCGCTCAGCTTCTCCGCTGCCAGCGACGCGTCCACGCCCTCCCCCCGACCCCCGGCTCCGCCGCCCTCCGCGCCTACCGCATGGCCCCCCAGTCCCCCTATGATCCCCTCTACCTCGTCCCCAAGTCCGTCGACCTCAGCTCCACCGACGGCGCAAGCATCCTCGATTCCCGAGGCGCGTTCGTCGTCCACGTGCCCTCCGCCATTTACGTCTGGCTCGGCCACTGCTGCGGACCGTCCATGGCCACCGCTGCCGCCACCGCCGCGCTCCAGGTCGTCCGCTACGAGCGTGCCGAGGGTCCTATCATCACCGTCAACGAGGGTTCCGAGCCTGCAGCATTCTGGGCCGCCCTCACTGACGAGCCCCTATCCGCCGTTCCGGAAGAGATCGTTGGAAATAGGAGAGTGGAGCTTTATGATCTCGACTACGACATCTTCCGCAGGGCTACGGCGAGAGCTAGAGCGGCACCACCACTCTCGAAGATGTGGACAGGTCCCGAGACGATAACCCCTGTGAAGGATAGTGGTTGGTGCCGCTTGAGGCGCAAGTTCGCAAGCAGGGACTGGAAGGATATAATAAAGGCAGTGGTGGAGCGCAGGAGTCTTAGAGAGGAGGATCTGCGGGCAAGAAATGCAGTTCGATCTCCAGGGTCGTTCTCGGTTGAGTCGAGCACCACACCATCATCCTCGTCAGCTGATTCTGCTTCGGTTCTGTCTACCTTCTCACCAAACTCGTCATCTTCCTCAGATTGGAACAATTTGTCACCGCCAAGGTCGGAATTGCATAGGGCCTCACAAACTGAGCTGAATCCGGAGTTGCAATCTTCAAGTTCTGGAAATGTGAAGGGGAAGGATTCGAGATCATTAGCTGAACGCAGGGGTGGCAATGCTCCTTCTCTGTTTCTAGTGCCATCAGCCGGTGATACCGAAGGAAGGCTCTCTTCAACAGATATTGTGAGGGACTGGTGCCTGTCTCCTCCTTTTATTTCTGAAGTGGAAGAATACCAAGAAACATTTGATTTAGAGCGACGACTCTCATTAGGTGCTTCTGATCCGGACGATGAAGCAGAAGATGAAACTTATTGTGCTGATGAGCATAACCAATTAATTCATCCGGTTCTTTTTAGGTGGCCAGATATGGATAAAGTGGAAGATGTTCACCCTGGTGTCCTCGACTCTGAATCAATATTCTTGTTGTTAGCATCAGAATCAAAATTGGGTTCGAGAAAACCAATGATGAAGAAAATATATGTGTGGTTAGGACGAGATAGTAGGAATGAAGTTGGTAGAGGGAATGAAGAAGATGGGCATATATATTTGGATAGGGCTGGCACTGAGTTTTTTGGTCGCATGGGTACTCCAATGGATACTCCTGTACAGGTATGCAATAATTTCTTCAACCTGGTGAACTTTTTTTGACCTATATGCTCTAGTAACGTTATTCTGATTTCAAATGAGGTCTTGTTTTGAGGGAAATATCTGCCTTCAAAGTGTTTTCAGAAAATATGTTATTTGTTGAAATCCATAATTACTTGTTATTTGATAATCTTTGTCATTGAAGAAAAATAGGATCTTTCATGTGAATAATGTGCAGTGTCATGTTGGATATTCCAGCTCATGATAGCTGTGTACTACTTGTTTTTAACTAGGATTATTGAGGCATTTATCTGTTAGACTACCTTAATTGCAATGGAACAAACTACTTAGTTGTCTATGATTGACTGAGATTAGAAGACTGTATCATTAAACAAGGGTGAATCTATCCTCAGACTTGTATTTAATACAAAGGAAAAAAAAACATAATGCAGCAGGATTTTTCTGAACCTAAACTTCCAAAACTTTGAAGTTCCCACAGGCTTGTTTTTTGGACCAGGTATTTTATATTGACTTACAAAGTTGAGAGGATGCTAGATTTGTCTGGTAATAAACATATTAAAGTTGCCTTGAAACAATAATTGCTTACACTCCATATCAATTTTTTATGCTTCGGTACAATTTAACTCGCATACCTACTGAGTAAATTGCACCTTGCATGAATCACTGCTTCAAAAATTCATCTTTAGGAGTTGTATATTTTTAATATATAATCTTTAATGAATTCATAATAGAATAATCCACTAGCTGACAACCAAGGTATATAGTCGTTCATGTATATAATGCTCCAATCAACATCCCAACTCTAGTCCCAAAAGAATTCCCCCATAAATCCATACTAAATATGAAAAACAACATAACAGATACCAATTGGGAAGGAGGAAGAATTTAAGGATGCAATAATGCATCATCACAAACATACATCATTCATCAATGGCATTAAATTTGAATGCCCAAGATGCACTCATCCAACAATAGATGAAGACATCTTACTCATGGGAATGACTTTACTCTCCAATAGAGAGAAATCATACACCCCTCAACTACTGAAGTGGTGTCTCATCCACCACGGTGATAAATAAATCTCCCCTAGCAGGATATCATTCGGTTGTCACATTTGACGGTCCGGTCCATTAATTGCCAAAGGTAATCATGCTACCACTATTGATTTGCTGCCAGTAGGAATTAATGTTCATAATCATCATAATATATTCATTCATGATTTTGTATCTCATGCATCATGAGCTCATTATGTAACATCTAGTATATCTAAAAATAGATATTTTTAGATATATATGGATATATATCATGGAAGATACTCATCCATAAGTAATCATCTAGCAAACCAAATAAAAGTGCAAGTCGATAAAATATCATCAGTAGTTGACCGCATTTGGCACGGATGAAATGAGTTGACATGATGTTCATAAGAATGAGATTATATTAGATCATATTAGATTTAACATCCAGATCTTAAAAAGTTAGGATCTGTCTTGACCTACAATCATCATGATTCTCAACGTCCTCGACATCATGATCTCCATTATCATGAGTATCTCCAAGGACTATCGTGCCGCCCAGAACAGTATGTAACAGGCTGTATGTACCGATTTGAGTGTGGACTAGTACGCAGATCACTCCCCTGTTTTGGCTGGTTTCGGTCCAACTCATGTAAAGAAAACCAAAAACAGTGATTCACGAGCCCTCTTCTTGTGATGCTGCCACCACCATTTGCGAGCACTCTTCTTACCACTGCCCTCTTCTCCTGACGCTGCCGCCATTCAATGTTGGCATTGTCTAGCAGCAGAGAAGAAGGAAGAAGAGGAGGAGGATAAGAGGAGGGATGTTCCGGGGAGATAGATGGATGGAACAAAGGAGGATAACAGTGTCATTTAAGGGGCATTAGCATGAGTTGGGGAATGGAGAGGGGAGATTGCAACTATACAGGCAGGCATGTTATGAAACTAGCTTGCAGAGCTGTCCTGCCGGCTGGCTTTCAAGTTGGCTTGTGGGGCTGGCCTATAACTGAAGTTGAGCTAATATCTACTACTATTTCCTGGAAATACAAGTTGGACAATGTGAGGCCTGGTCTATGGGTGCAGTGGGCTTCACTCTGCTGAGATTACAGTGGACAGGGGCCTGCTGAGGCTGCATTTGGGTTGCAGCCTTGTGCATTGGCTAGATATTCGCATATGTGACTGTACAAAGGGAGTGGAGCATAAGTCTCTCAAGAGACGTGGTGGAGGGGAGTCTTATTGGCTGGTCAAAGAGTGTGCACGATGGTACATAGCTTTGTACAACACATGGGCAATCAGAGATGCACGTCGAACAATTGAGGAAAGACCACCGGGGAAAGCATGATATTAACAAGGCACTTGGCTGCACAACCTGCAAAGGACCATGCAAGAATTCCCATGCCCTGTGCTGACGTGCGCAGGCTTGTTGATGTGCTTAGGTCTGCAAGCAGGCTTTCCTGCGCCATGGTTTACAGGCTGATCTGTGCAAGGATGCCTGCGAGCCGTGGCTGGTGCAGGCGGGCTGGGCTTGCAGGCCAGCGTTTGAGCTGCTGAAGGAGGGCTGCTTGTTGGGTGCTGGGGGACTCGCCTATGGCATGCGATCTAACAAGGATGCAAGATCAGCGACCTTCACGTCACAGCAGCTGCCCCGATCCAACCCCACCTGATGACCTCTTGCCGTTCGCATCTTCCCTTCTCCTAAGTCCTAATTGTCTCCTATTTTACTCGGCTCTCATCTTTTTCTTCTATCTACCTTTCTATGTCCGCTCAAAGCTCTACAAACTTCCACAACCATGTCTTTCACTCCAGCAACTACGACATGGTGCAAATGATATCACCTTTTACCAATTTAGATTAGATCTTTCAAGTACACAAAGGAGTGAAGAAACAAACATCCTTAACTTAATAATCAGCATGGTAAAAGTATCGGATTTACAATACTTGAGTCACGAGCAAAATAATAACAAGGCGAAATCATACTGCTAACAGAAAGTGAAGAGATGATTCCTACAGCAATCATCGAGATAGAGAAAGAGAAATCTAGAAAGGATCCTGACGTTTTCCTAATGGTAATGCACATTGTCTGTCTTCTCTTCATTTTTCTCCTCTCTGATCAACTTCACAACGAAAACCTGTCTTCTACCCCTCACCTTCTTTAGAAGGAAGCAGGCTCTAGATAGAAAGGAGATGGAATATCTAATCCACTGTCGCCAATAAGACCATACCAATCTCATCTAACTGTTGTCCCAAACAAATATGATGTCTAAACACCTAAAATACTAAATTAGCCTTCTAATTAAAGCCGATTCTAACAATTATCATCAATTCCTGACAAGATTCTACACATATAATCAACCTAGTTCAGATTAATGCTTTACTGTTTTTGAGAGTTAGCTCATCCTGTTAATGTCATTTTGGTGACTATACAAGTTGCAGAGGTTAGATATAAATGCAATGTTTACATTGTCTTGGTCTTGGAGGTCACAGAATGTTCATATGCATATGCATCATCAACTTCCTCTTAGGAGAAGTTGCATGGATGTGATTAATAAAAGTAAAGAATCTTATTCTGCATTAGATTTTGTATGTAGGAAAGCATATATTTGGAGAAAGTTCATAATTTGTCTAAATTATGCATCATCAGATTTAGCACCTGAATTTGACAATCCCTGTATTCTTCGTCTGGTACCTTGCACTTTTGGATAAATCATGTGCTACACACAAAAATTGAGACTAGGCTTGTTTTGATAAAAAAACACTTGTAATGCAATAGACTGTAATCCAGATGTTCAATTATTGCAAAACCCGACAATGGCGACAGCCTCTAATTTTACTCTGACTTTCCATGAACTAACTCGGACATTGGCACACAATAAGAGGCTGAAATAATGTGCGGTTCAATCACTTGAGTTCCCAGTACAAATAGGAAGCAGGAAAGCTTCTAGGCATTGGTTCTGGTACCTAAATATGTCATTGTATGTTACAGCTATACAATGTGGTCATATCGATCCAAGACATGGCATGTACGCGTGTAGAATTTGCTGTATGTATCATTGCAGCTCAAAAAATAGTTTGTTGTATCACAAGCCATGAAGAGCACCCAGAAGAGAGATGCTTGTTCTATTAAAGAATAATTTGAAGGACAATTGTAAAGACAATTTTGTGTCTAAAATTAATGTTAGTGTGAATAAAATTGTGAAGGGTTCATCGGTCGTGTTGCAATTGAGGAGTAATATTTATTTAAAAATTATCATGAGTTAAGGTTTGCAATATTTCAAGGAAGTGAGATTTTTATGTTTAAAAAAGAATCATTATAGAAAGTTCCTCATTACTGGACAGCAAATAGCTTCATTAGTACATATCAAGTTTTGGAAAATGTTTAACAAAGCAAAAAAAGGAACTTCTGGTTATAGAGCCTGTACTGGGCTATACAAGCCTTTATGAAGCATACCAAGCATTAAAGGCTCTATACCATCCGGTTTACCCTGATTCGTGTATCGGTAATCTATCAAACTGGTAACGGAACTGTACTAGGCAATATTGCAGACATTGTTGTGCTCATTCAACTTGTTCCTCTGCGTCTTTTAGATTTAGATTTAGTCAAGTGTGTGAAGATGATAGCAGGTCTCTGTAATTCCAAGATCTTGCAGTTTTGTTTTAGGTTCTACCAATATATATGTACAATAACTGCTTTTCTGCAACTTTTGATTAGGCAATTTGATGTCAATTTTTTTTCCATTGTGAATTCTGTAATATTTTCATATTGAACCATCTTTCCCTACATGAAGGTTTACTTTCGATGAATTCATGAACTCCGTCATTCTTGAGATATTGTACAGTTGTACTGTTCATGAATAACCATTTGCAACGACACGAAGAGACTCGTGTTTCTAAATTTATGTGGTTGGGCTGAATAATTATCGTGTAAATTTACTTCTTATGTACTGGGCTTCACTCTTTAATTATCTTACTGGATTAGCATGATTCATAATAAAACCTCTTTAAGTATATATCCCTCTTACTATGTTTTAAACCCTTCACTTAACACTCTCTTCTTTAATTTTTTTCTATGTTTTTGAGAAATTGTGCAAAACTTCATATTTAGCCAGCCATACTACATATGCTGTATATTTAGGAGGTTGTCTGACATTCCATCTTTGCCGCTACTATCATCCTCTTTTGGAAGTTGACAACGCGAGATGATTTATGGCAGAGATCGTAGCTTGGGGGTGAATAACCATGCAGTTGGCAGTTTCTGATATGCAAAAAGTGGAAAAGGGACTTAGTTGGAATAATAATTATTATGAAAATTAATTGTCACAAAATTTTTCTTTTTTTGAAAAAACTAGAGAAAATGGAGTACCTTCAATGTGAAATCATAACATTTCGTTCAATGGATTCTTAGATTTAGCTGTCCCAAGATGTCATTTACCAGTTGCCTGGTGATTTGGCTCTTTCTTATGTAGCATGCACAGCCTTTAATATTATTGATAACTGTGATCAGTCAAGCTAATCCTTCTATGTATTCTGGAAGTGTCATTAATTGTTTGTAAAACCTGATCGTATTTATTATTGTGTGTTCAACAGATAATTCGAGAAGGCCAGGAACCAGAGCAGTTTTTGAATCACATCTTTTCATTCCACCAGGCTACAGAAAGCAGTCATAGCTGAGGATAACTGAGAACTACTAGGAAAGATCCAACCTTCCTTTCAAGCATGCCCAACTCACTAATCCTTAAGTTATGGAAGTTTTTCTTTGCTTTGTTTTCATTTACCAGGGCAACAGTGTTATACCAAGTGCAACCAGTTAAAAATCATCAGCCATCACTAAATGTGTGAATGGAGCTGGCCATTCAGGAATAACAAGAGAAATAATTTCAAGTGAAAATATATTGCATCCTGTGCTTTTTTGTGCAGGTTACTAACAAGATATGTCACTTAGTGGAACTGCTGCTTCAACGTTGACTAAGCAAGGTATGCATACTTCCTCCCATGGTCACTCTGCTAGTGGAAACCTGGTTGAGCCAAAGATAGCAGTGTCGGGAGTTCTTTTCAGTTCCTATGGATCCTATTCCTCCCTGCCTTGAATTAGATCTCTGCTGTCACATTCCAGATTTAGTCCCAAATTGAGTTGCTGTTATAGGAGTAGGTGGATTTAGTTTCTACCATATTAACTCTACTGCACATTGTGTGTCAGACTAACATTGGAAAGTTCATGTGGTTTTACTCCGCAAACCAGAATACACTAGAGAAGTTCATCAATAATGAGTTATTCTTGTTGTGAGGTAGGAGGAAGTTTGATTCCAAATCACTGTTGCGTGATGTTGGATCAATTTTTAACCTTCTTAACAAAAAAAAAAAAAAAGTTTGGAAACCGAGTCACTGGAGCACAATTAATAAGCATTTTCTTTGTATCTTTTTTGAAATCTAAGGTGTTCTTCAAGGTTTTGGTAAGTGAATTAATGCAAGATCATTTAGATAATTTTTTATCTGTAATTTTTTATTACCTTAGTGGTGTATTGCAATTCCCATAAGTTGTCATATAGCGAAGTTTTCTAAATTAAATAGGAAAGTAAATGAAAACTTGATTTTTATTTTTATCTTCTCTACTGCAACATTTTCCTTTCTTTTGTGCTTATAAAAGGTTAGTGAATATATTTTGATAAGTTCAAAAATGATGAGTCACCCCACATATTTTGTTCCGGTGGTATGTTCTCTTCGTACTTTTTTGCTATGCGTACCCTTTTCGTTTGTTTACCATATTATTATTGTTGTTGTTGTTGTTGTTATTTCTTCCTTTTATTTATTTATTTATTTTATTATCATAATAAAAGGATTTCCATTGTTTCCTCACAAGTGGGAAACGAGCTCGTTCTACGTCGATGGATGTCTTCAAAGAAAGCAAATTATATATTCTATGTTTTCTCATAATTTAAATGTGATGAAAATATTTTTTTTTTCTCTAAAAAAAATATCATTTCTTAAAAAGTATATTTTAGAAAAAAATAATAATTTAAATTGTCTATTCTGTCTCAGTGTATTGTGTTCCTCTATAAATATGCACGATCGAAATCTCGGTCTGCTGCTGCAACAATCCTACGCTTCACCTGCCACAACCCGAAAAAATGAGGCCTTCATCTTCCTTCCTCGGCCCTCTACTTATCTCTCTAATCCTCCATGCAACCTTGCACGACCTCGCCGCCGCCTCTCCCCTCTTCACGGACGGCCGGTGGATCGTGGACGCCTCCGGCACGCGCGTCAAGCTGGCCTGCGTGAACTGGCCGTCGCACTTGGAGCTGATGCTGGCGGAGGGCTTGTCCAAGCAACCACTGGCGAGCATCACGTGGAATATCCACCTCATGGGCTTCAACTGCGTCCGGCTCACCTACCCCACCTTCCTGCTCACCGACGAGTCACTGGCCTCCCTCACCGTCCGGCAGTCCTTCGAGAGAGCCGGCCTCGACGCCACCATCCCCCTCATCGCCCTCCACAACCCCACTTTCGTGGACCTCAACCTCCTCCAAGCCTACAAGGTGACCCTCTCTCTCTCTCTCTCTCTCTCTCTCTCTCTCTCTCTCTCTTCAGCGACAGTTCGTCAAGTTTCTCCTCGAATGCATTCGGTAACATGCACGATCGTCATGAACCAAGGGCAAGAACAGCAGAAAGCACATCACCTTTCACAGATCCGATGTGTCAGGGTTCAAATGCCCTTTCTTTTGACCCAATAAATGTATATGTGTATATATAGACCCTTTTTTTCGCTAATCCCTGAGAGAACTGAGCAGGCTGTGGTTGCCAAGCTTGGAGCGACCAATATAATGGTGATACTGGACAACCACATCAGCAAGCCAGGGTGGTGCTGCAGCAACTCCGATGGCAATGGCTTCTTCGGAGACACTTATTTCGATCCTAATGTGTGGTATCAAGGCCTAATAAAAATGGCGACGATGTTCAAAGGAACCCCCAACGTGGTCGGCATGAGCCTGCGGAACGAGCTCAGAGGTCGACGACAGAACGTGGACGACTGGTTCACGTACGTCACCGTCATTTCGCGTCTTCATCCTTCCGCTCCCTTCCCACTCTTCCTAATTCTCCTCCTCCTTCAGGTACATGCAGAAGGGCGCGGAGGCCGTGCACGGCGCCAACCAAGACGTGCTCGTCGTGCTATCCGGCCTCAGCTTCGACAACGACCTGAGCTTCCTGGCGAACAGGCAGGTCGATGTGAGCTTCCAGCGGAAGCTCGTCTTCGAGCTGCACTGGTACTCCTTCAGCAACGGCGACGCGTGGGTCAAGGGCAACCCCAACAACGTCTGCGGAAGCATCTCCGGGAGCGTGAACACCAGGGCGGGGTTTCTGCTGGACCGGCAGCTGCCGCTCTTCGTCAGCGAGTATGGAGTGGACCAACAAGGCGGCAACCTGAACGACAACCGCTACTTCGGTTGCATCCTGGCGTTTTTAGCAGACAAGGACGTGGACTGGGCGCTGTGGACCTTGCAAGGGAGTTACTACCTCCGAGAAGGCGTCGTCGACAAGGGGGAGTCCTATGGAATGCTAACATATGACTGGGCCGGCGTCAGAAACCAGACTGTGCTACAGAAGGTTCGAGCGGTGCAACAGCCATTTCAAGGTACTCGACGAACCCCTCTTCTTGGATCCAATGCTTAAAGCGGATACAAACCGTGCGATCCAAATGTTCGATACAGGTCCTGGCGTCTCCAAAACTCCTCCCTATATCATCATCCTCCACCCATCCACCGGGCTCTGCGTCAGACAGGGCTCCTTGACATCCCACACGCTCGATTTTGGTCCCTGCGACGGCAACATGCAAGCATTCCACTACACCCAGCAGCAGACCTTGACATCCGTAGATTCATCGCTGTGCGTGAGCGCCACCGGATCAGGGAAGCCTGTAAAGTTCGACAGCTGCAGCGACTCGGGCTCCTCCTGGGATCTGGTCTCGGACTCGGGGATGCATGTGTCGACCACATTGCCCGGTGACGGCAGCACCCTGTGCTTGGACGTCGGCCAGAACGGCGTCGTCACAAATCCATGCAAGTGCCTCCGCGACGACGCCAACTGCGATCCTGGGAGCCAGTGGTTTAAGCTCGTCACCAGCGCCAAGGCTATTCCCTGATCTCTCTCTCTCTCTC